AATTGCAACATTGCTATGTGGGAAGGATCCTATGGTGTTTGTTGGTTAGTGACGTGTGGCGAGAGCATTGTAGAAGGCTATTTGGAGAGCAGAGGCTGGAATGCAAAGAGTTGGTTAAAAGCATGAAGATGGTATTGCAGGCAAAGATTAATGGTGATGTGAAGTTTGTTGTTGTAGTCCATATTCGTAAATTGTGGTTTTGTTGAAGGTCATGTATGTATCTTGATAGTATTGTTAGCATTATACTCTTTTGTTTTTTGATGGTATTGTAAAGTGACAGATTTTAACTAATTATATTTTGTTGAAATAAAATCAAACTCATTCATAAAAAAAATCACCAACAATAGACCATTCAGATTTATAGAATACAACAGAAAATCCGTCTAGAACAGGGGCTTTGTCATTTGGCATTTGCTTAAAAACCTCACTGATCTCCTCCCTTGTAATTGGAGTTAATAGAATTTGGACTCCTTCTGGTTCTAATCCCTGTCTAAGCTGCTGCTAGAAATAAGCAACTGAACAATCATGTACATTCTGATCAACTTCCCCTAAAAGCTTCTTGTAAAAACAAACTACTTCAACTCCCATCTCTTTTATATCTGTCACTTCTGTGTTATCCTCTCAAAGCAGCTTCATAATAGTTTGTCTTTGATTTCCGACCTTCACTACAGTATGAAAATAAGTTGTGTTAGCTTCACCCTCCTAAACCCATTTTATTATGGACTTCTGGAAAAAAAAAGCTCTCCTCTGCCACCTGTAAATCATGACACAAAGCAGCAAGTTCAAGCTCCTACTGGATATAATCTGCATTGGGATTAGAAAGAACTTCTTGTTTCTGTAGCTCAAGTCCCCTCTCTGCCTCCCTTGTCCGTTCAGAGATATCAGAGTATTCAATTCGATTCAACTTTTTCAGTTTATGTTTGAAAACAGTCAGCTTCGTATAAAACTGCTCATAAGGTAAACCCCTAGCAGGCTCTCCCCAAACTTCTTCCAAAAGAGATGAGTATTGAGGATGTTCTCGCCAGTACTTGAAATATTTAAAAGGTTTCGGTAGAGAACCTAGCTTGGGAGTCGAGTCCAAGAATAGACCACAGTGATCTGATACTCTAAGAGTCAGTCTTCTTGCAATACTTTGTGAAAATTTAATTAACCCCTCCTCATTCACCAGGAACCTGTCAAGTCTTTTAGCTATTGGATTCCCAGACTGTTTATTCCACCATGTATATCTCGATCCAATTACACCTTATGGTCTAACAAACACATCTCATCGGCCCATTCCCTAAAACCTAGCCTACCTTGATTCATAACAGTAGAATTAGAGGCTTTTGTAACATCATCAATAGCATTATAGTCACCCATAAAAACACCAGGCTCCCCTACAACTTTCCAAGGCTGCAACTCGGAGTACAACGTAGGTCTTTCATTGCCCTTGTTGGGACTGTATATAGCTCTAACAACACGCCCTGATAACCCTGCAACCCGGACTTGAATGAAATGATCTCCCATTTTATTAGATGAACCTTCAAACTAGGCTTCCAAAATAACCAAACCCTCCCTGAAGCTGAATGAGCATAATTATCTAAATGTTGCCAAGAACTAAAATGACGACTTATAATATCCTCTGCATTCTTTTCTAACACCCTTGTTTCTAATATTGCCGCAAAATCAATATCTAACTTTATTAACTGCTTACTAATATATTTATGCTTCTCAGGGGCATTGACCCCCTGAGATTCCAACTCAAAAACTTCATTTATTGCGCTTCCGACCTCTCCCTCGTTTGAGAGAGTCCTCTTATAACCAGTGCTTGACCACGAGCATTTAAAGGCACCCTTGCTTGAACAGCCAAGGAAGGAATTCTCAGTGATGAGCCTAGATCAATCCCATTCCCCTTACTTGTAACGAGCTGGAAACCATCCTCATCAATTATCTTACCTGAATTACCAAGATTTGGAAGAGTGCTACCCAAAGTCGCAACAGATATAATAGAACCCTTCTTTGGTGAGCCGGCTACTAGAACTGGTCCTCTTGCAGTTGATAATGAGCCAGCCACTTAAACTGGACATTATGCGGTAATTAGACCCAATTCCCACACCACATTTTCATCTCCAAACGACCCATTAGTCAATTGTACATAATACTCTACTATTTATATACAAAAATATAATTTTTTTAATATTTTATATTTAATTCGAACAACTTTTCCAATATTTAATTTATTATTTGGTATATATTGATATCATATTGAAACATTTTGGATTGAGATTTATTTCAATCATTATGTAGCATTTGAGATACAATGAACCGATTTCTCCTAATCATAGTAAAGTCCATACACTCACTACAAGAAAATTGATATTCAATCACGTGATTTTAATCAATGGATATTTCCGTGATTAAATATTTAACTAATGTCATGTGAAATAATTCCCGTGCTAAACCATGTCAGGCACTGTGAATTTAATTATGGGATTTTATTCCGTGATACTTAATCGTCCCTTTTCCGGTGACAAGTGAGACACTTAATTAACACAAAACATTAGACCCATATTTTGGCGGTGGCAAATTTTTATTTTCGATTCGGGGTCGGTTAGCATGCTAACCCCCCTTAGGGGTTGGAAAAATGACACCCCTCTAGTATATTAAATACAACTATAGAATTTAATACACACATTAAATACACATTAGGAATTAAATGTACCATATTAATTAGGAATTCTCTCACTATTAAATACACATTAGGAATTAAATACACATATTAAATACACATTAGGAATTCTCTCACTATATTTGATTTTTCCTTTTTCAGCAGTCTCCGACCACCAGACTTCCTCCGACCGCCACACTTCTCCGGTGAAAATCCCATCGGCAGACTCCCTCCGACCACCTCCAAAAAATATACCACTGCACTGATACGGTGTACCACTGTACTGGTAGATATACCACTGCACTGATACGTTGTACCACTGTACTGGTAGATATACCACTGCATTGGTAGCGATATCAGTGCACTGGTAGCAATGTCATATCTGAGTATCAGTGCAGTGGTACAAATACCAGTAAAGTGGTAATTAATGTGGTGTATTTAATGCTTACTTTCTATTTAATAACAGAACATTTATTATGTTTACTTTCATTAATACTTGTCAATAATTAATGAAAAATTGACCAATTAAAAGGGGAGTGTCAAAAAACCAACCCCTTAAGGGGTTAGCATGCTAACCCGTCCCTTTTGGATTCAAACTTTACAAAATATTTTGAGGGAAAAGGATCCAGATTCCAGAATCCGTATCCAAAAGAAAAACCCTCTCTGTATTCCTTCCTTCGCCCAACAATGCCCAACTCCGGTGAAATGGAACCTAGCTTGCTGTCATCCATGTACGCTAATCGCACCACATTCCCATCAATAATTTTTCCTTAATATGTATCTTTTCGTCAAGTTGTGTATATATCTTTTCAACGACATACAGAGTCGGAGCCAGGATTTGGATGTTATGGGAAATTTTTTTTAGATAATTAGAGTCATTTGAAATTAACCTAACTAAAAATGTATGTGTTTGTGCCTAGAATGTACTAGGCGGTTATGGGGCTCCAATCTGGACTCCTTCATCTGATCTCCTCGAGAGGGGAAGAACCTGTGAGGCGGGCGGCGGCCCCCGGGATCTACGCTCCGACGCCCAAGTTAGTACGATATAAGAGAGTGTATGGTATGTAGAGAGAGAGAGAGAGAGAGAGAGAGAGAGAGAGAGAGAGAGACCTTAGGGTAAGAGTGTGGGAAGGGAAGAGAGCCTCCTTAGTTTGGAGGGTTAGGCCTCCTTATATAGGGTTTGGGCTTCCTTGAGTGGGCTTGGGCCCAGGACGCCTTGCGGTGGGCTTGGGCCCGTTTATAGTCGTGTAGGCATATTAATCCATATCCCAACAATTGCCCCTTTACTTCTTGTATTCTGTAAGAATGGAAGGAGTAACATAATGCATTAATTGTGTATTAATTTGCCTTACTTACGAATCCGGATGATGCGGTTTGCCCCTTGTGCGAGTTGCGTAATCATTTCCTTTGCCCCTTGCTTGACTTTCGATGTCTTGAACCAAAGCTCTCAAGTCGTTAAGAGTTCCTTCACTAGTCCATTGGACCATAATTGCGACCTAGGTAGGGTGGCCCCCACGGCGTGAGAGTTTTAACTCAAGACGCTCTTGTTTCGTGTCTCCCCAATGTCGCGTCCATGTTGTCAGGAAGTCATGTGTCTTGTTAATATCTTACTTGTGTAAGGCAAGATCAACAGTTATCTTCTAGGAAGCTTAATACTTCGCCTTTTGAGAAGCGCATTAGTCTTTCAGCTTTCTGGAAAGCTTAGTGCTTCTTCGGCTTCCTGGGGTGCGCTTCTCCTTTGGCTTCCTGGGAAGCGCCTCGCGCCTTCGGCTTCCTGGGAAGCGCATAGCTCCCTCGATTTTCTGGGAAGCGCATCGCTCCTTGGCTTCCTGGGAAGCGCGTCGCTCCTCGGCTTCCTGGGAAGCGCGTCGCTTCTCGGCTTCCTAGGAAGCGCATCGCTCCTTGGCTTCCTGGGAAGCGAATCGCTCCTCGGCTTCCAGGGAAGCGAGTCGCTCCTCGGCTTCCTGGGAAGCGCCTCGCGCCTTCGGCTTCCTGGGAAGCGCGTCGCTCCTGGGCTTCCTGGGAAGCGCTTCGCGCCTACGGCTTCCTGGGAAGGGCATTGCTCCTTCGCTTCCTGGGAAGCGCATCGCTCCTTAGGCTTCCTGGGAAGCACATCGCTTCTTCACTCCTTCGCTCCTTCGCATTGCATTCCAAAGAGGGAACATCGTTCGGAAGCGGGAAAGCATTCCAATGAGGGAACATCGCTCGGAGGCGGGAAAGCATTCCTATGAGGGAGCCTCGCTCGGAGGCGGGAAACGAGCCTTGCTCCGTGGCGGAAGGCATGAATCAATACCCGAATGGTGCATCGCTCGGAGGCGGTATTTCAGCCTTGCCCAGAGGCGGAAGGCATGAATCAATCCCCAAAGGATGCATCGCTCGGAGGCGGTATTTTAGCCTTGCCCGGAGGCGGAAGGCATGAATCAATACCCGAAGGGTGCGTCGCTCGGAAGCGGAAATCGTTCCTCATAAGAAGCATCGCTCGGACGCGAGAGTCTTCGAGGCGAACCCGGAGGTTGGAGGCGTGAGCCTTTCCTGTAGAGTGCATCGCTCGGAGGCGAGAAGCATTCTCCGGAGAGAGCATCGCTCGGAGGCGGGAATCTTCGAGCCTAGCCCGGAGGCAAGAGGCGTGAGTCTTCAAACTTTTCCCTGGAGGTGGTCTCTGATAAATATGGCATGAGGTGGTAGTGTCCAATATTCTCATAGCATAAATAAGCATAGAATTTTATGACGAATATCCTAGCACGGTGGTGATGCCTCTTCATGGCGTGGAATTGAAGATATATATTCTTGAAGAAATTACTTATCTTGTGAAAAAATAGTAGAGGAGGCAGCTAGTCAATGGATAAATGTCGGACGTTGCAAATTATAACTCAAACCGTCCATGTAGCATATTGGGTGGTTCCCTTCCTTTTAGCAGGTAGAATGTGGGTTCAAATCCCAGCTCAAGCGGTTGACATTTCTTTTTAATTGAGCCCATTCTTTTTAATTGAGCCCGGATCGAGCTGACTGAAGCTGGGCCGAGCGGTTGCTGAGCTTGACTTTGCGAAGCGGGCTTGAGGCGGCCCATTTGACGCGAAGGCGAGACCTCCTTGTGAGACAAAATGTGAAGCGGGTCGAATGGAGGCGGGCCGCTTTGGACGTGAATGGGAGGAGGTCTTGGGCCTGATGGGAGGCTTTACACTGGAACTGATGGGTCGAGGACAGGCACAGGGCGGTTTGCCTCCTTTGGTGGCCCATTGGGCTGACTGAAGCTGGGCCGAGCGGTTGCTGAGCTTGACTTTGTGAAGCGGGCTTGAGGCGGCCCATTTGACGCGAACGGGAGGCGATCAGACATGCATGGAGGCGGCTTTGGTGGAAGCGGCTTGCGGGAAAATAGAAAATGAGGTGGTTGTTCCCTGGAGCTCGGGTTGGGACTGATGTTGGAGGCGAAGCGGGCCGCGTTGCGAAAGTCTTCGTGGGCCTTAAGTTGGAAGCGAATCGGTTCGATTGGAAGGTCGAGGTCGGATGCGTTCTGGGCTTAGATGGCGGACTCGAGTTGAGGACTTGGAGTGCGGGCCAGACAGAGGTGGGCCCGTGCGATACGGGGCTGGACCGTGTTGTGAAACCGAATGCAAGAGTAGAGGCCGAATGGAGGCGGTCTAGTGTTTGGGCCTTGAGGTGAGGAAGGCCGAAGCCCAAGTGCGTTGTGTAAGCAGAACACTGGTCAGATGGAGACGTACAAGGCCCATAATGGTGGGCTATGGAGGCGGAGCGGGCCGCGCGGACTTTGGTGAGCAGGATGGAGTTGGAGGCGGGCCTTCTCCTTAAAAGAGTCGGGCTTTCAGAGGCAGGCCGCATTACTCGCTGAAATTGGAATTCAGGGAAGCCTTAAATAATCTTTGTTACTTTTCGTAGCTGGGGCCTTTTCTGGATAATGGGCATTCTCATCTTTTCTTCGCAATGGACACTAAAGAGGAATCCCAAAGGCGTTTCCTCGGGAACTCCGTTAACTATCGTGAGAACTCTGTCTCTGTTTGCCAGCTTTCCCTGAAAGAGGGTATCCAAGAAAAAAAAATAAGAGAAAAGGCTTTTCTAGGACTCGCTATCTAATGATTTCAAGAGTTCTAGTACCTAGATCTAAATGAAAGAAAAAAATGACGGAGAGAGAAAGTAGTTGTCGACAACTAGGGGATGATGTGACAATGAGAAGGGCTGAGCAGGTCCGACTTTTGAGGAGGAAGTGATGGTGACATGTCCTTTTCTTTTCTCGCTGGAAATTCGACTTGGTGGAGAAGGTGAGTGTTCGTTAGCGTTGTAGCACAGGTGACCAGTGACAACGACGAGTTTTGCTGGCTCGGATTCCACTAATTCTTCACTTTTCTTCTTCTATAGCTGCTACTGAGCTTCTTCTTTTTTTTCTTTTACATTTTCTCTTCGGTTGATGACGTTAACACTTGTTAGTGTGATGAATCCGCCAGATCTGTAAATGAGGAGTGATGTCGGGGCTGATGGAGAAGAGAAACTAGCGGCAACCAGGGACGGTGATGGATGGGGATGTCGGGGATGTATTTTATTCCTGCCAGTTCGAGAGAGAGAGATGATGTTGATCTTCCACTGGAGTTGCAGAGCCTTGCGGAACTCCGGTGGCCGTCGTTAGCCGGAATCTGCCTTTTTTGGCGGAGGAGGGATGGAGCTTCTTCGTCGGAGTAAATTGTTTGTGCCTAGAATGTACTAGGCGGTTATGGGGCTCCAATCTGGACTCCTTCATCTGATCTCCTCGAGAGGGGAAGAACCTGTGAGGCGGGCGGCGGCCCCCGGGATCTACGCTCCGACGCCCAAGTTAGTACGATATAGGAGAGTGTATGGTATGTAGAGAGAGAGGGAGGGAGAGAGACCTTAGGGTAAGAGTGTGGGAAGGGAAGAGAGCCTCCTTAGTTTGGAGGGTTAGGCCTCCTTATATAGGGTTTGGGCTTCCTTGAGTGGGCTTGGGCCCAGGACGCCTTGCGGTGGGCTTGGGCCCGGTTATAATCGTGTAGGCATATTAATCTATATCCCAACAATATGTCTTCTTGTGTTAACAAAGATGCAATAACTAACGAAATAGTAATAATAATGCATTTTATTGCATCATATTTTCTTTACCATTTTCGCTTTAAAAAATAAAGCCCATTATTACTAATATTTGATAACACATGTTTTTTAGTGATTTTACCACTATTTGAATATCTTAAATAGCATGTAACGCTAATAAATTAAATCCATATGTATATCACTCTCATAATAAAATTGACAAAAATTTAATTTATTAATGGAATATTACTTTAAGTTTTTGAATTTTGTTGATTGAAAAGTATAATTACTCTGATTTGGCATTTAGGAAACTTGCCTATAGTAGAAAAAACGTGGGAGAAGAGACAAAAAATACTTTAATACAAGTTCTAGTCAAATGTGAAACTTGACTAATCGACAACTGGAAAAATATGGGTTAAGGTAAAACAATAATACGTGGGAGAATAATAAAATCCCTTTAAGTTAAGTCCTATCGAAAGGGGAAACTTGATTAATCGGCAGCTAGAAAATGTGGGTGAAGGGAGAAAATCATACGTGAGAGAAAGGAAAAAAAAACCTTAAGAAAATTTCTAACGAGATGGAAAACTTGCAAAATCAATAACTTGAAAACATGGCCGGTTAAGAGAGATGAAATACATGAGAAATACATGAGAGAATAAAGCCCCCCCCCCCCCCCCCCCCCCCCACCCTTTTAAGGCAAGTCCTAGCAAAATAGAAAATTTGTCTAATTGATAGTTAGAAAATGTGGGTTATGAAAAAAAATATTTTTAAAATAAGTCCTAGCAGGTCCTATGGTGCGCTCTGTCACATTCCACCAGACGCCTTAAGTATACTAGTGGATTAATATATCTAATTATATGCTATCTTAGTAACATTATTAATCATTATCCTAAAAAGATTTATAAGTAAGTCCTAACAAATTCTACGGTGCATCTTCTCACAGCACACTAGACCTCTTAAGCAAACTTGCACTATTTTTATAATAGTAATTATAGCTATCTCAGTGGCACTATTGATCACGACCTGACAATCACTCCCACTTCTTCTCCTACTCTCCATGGTTATTTTGATGCTACATGGGTGTACTTTCCTCAATATCATAAGTAAATCGTGACTTAATTTACTGCGTTCCAAGAGAAATTTTTTATTATCATGCTCTGATATTAAAAAAAAATTTGGTTGCTCGCTCGTCTAGTGAATGCAAGTATTGCACCCTAGCTATGGTGGACTCTAATGTTATTTTGGTTACAGTCTAATTTTTCGAACTCATTTATGTTCTTCCTTATTCACCAACTCTTTAGTGTGACAACTTTGGGGTGACTTATCTTACTCATAATACAGTGTCATCCAAAACATATGGAGATTTGATTTGATTTTTTTCAATATCGTGTCAACAAGCGTCAACTTTGTGTAAATTATCTTCCAGTCACGAAAAAATTATCGGATGTATTAACCATATCATCGACTCGCTCTCAATTTTTCCCAATTGTTCTACTCCGAGTTCCACCACCCACGGCAAGGGGGAAAAGAGGGAAAGAAGGAAATGATTGGTCGTTGAACAACAAGGGGGAAAAGAGGAAAGAAGGGAAAAAATGATATTTCTTCGGAAAAGGACAAAAGGAGGAGGGAAAATGGGGTTCTGGGCTGGTGAGCTTTTTTTCTTTATGTGTTCTTTAATTGTTTCATATTTTTGTTTGTTTTATTTGTTTGACTACCAACAACCATTTTTTCCAACGGCTATTTTTCCAATGATCATATTTTATTCCAGCTCTATAAATAGAACTCATTCTTCACTTTCTTCCAACACTTCTCAAATACTTTTTCTACTTTCCAAACAAAAATTTATCTTATTTCCGAACTCTCTATCATAGTAATCATGGCTTTTTCCGGCGGAGATTACAAACCGAATTACACAATGCTTGAAGACTATGCTTTATGCAAGTCTTGGATAGATGTTTCACAAAATCCTATAGTTGGTCATTATCAATCTTCAATAGCTTTCTGGTAACGAATTGGAGATCTAAATTCTGTGAATGGCTTTATGACCTTTCATACCAATTGCGCCTTGAAGACTCGATGGAAGTCTATCAACCATGCATGTAAGAAGTGGAATGAGACATTGAAGAGTGCAAATGCTAATACACCGAGAAGATCTAACCAACTAGACATGGTTAGTCAGTGGCACTCTCCTTCAATGTAGTGATATTGCCTAGACCTCCTTCTTTGTCGCCATCGTAGTTGGGTTCGGCTTTTTTTTTTTGCACAGTGCTGCATGTTTTTTAGTGGTTCTATGCATGTACATCTCTAGATAATCCTTGCACTGAATAGTCAACCTGTATATACCAAACATGAGTGTCAATATCCGAGTGAATTGGGATGATTGCATTTAGGTCAAGATGGGGAGGGTGATGGGGGGAAATCAACTCCAATACTCCATACCTCCTTCTTTGCCGCCCTTGTAGTTGGCTTAGGCTTCTTTTTGCACACTACTGCATGTTCTTTAGTGGTTCCATACCTTTACATCTCTAGATAATCCTTGTATTCAATAGTCAACCTATATATGCACCAAACATGAGTGTCAGTATCAGCGTGAATTGGGATGATTGCATTCAGGTCAAGATGGGAAGGGTGATGGGGGAAATCAACTCCAGACCTCCTTCTTTGCTGCCCTTGTAGTTGGGTTAGGCTTCTTATTGCACACTGCTGCATGTTTTTTAGTGGTTTCGTACCTGTACAACTCTAGATAATCCTTGCACTAAATAGTCAACCTGTATATACCAAACATGAGTGTCAATATCAACATGAATTGGAATGCTTGCATTCAGGTCAAGATGAGGAGGGTGATGGGAAAACCAGTACTAAATTGTACAAAAAGTGGGCAAATGATGAGATAAAATGGGCAATCATGCTTCATCTGTATACGAATTCCGTCTAGGAATAGAAATCAAGCATTCAATTGTGATAGTTGCATTCAAGTCAAAATGGAGAGGGTGATGGGGGAATCCGTACTAAATCATTTAAAAATGGACAAAATGGCCAATCATGCTCCATCTATCTACTAATTTAAGCTGGGAATGGAAACAGAGCATTCAATAGAATCTACAATTTCCAATCATGTATCCTTCAATAGTGGGGAAGGTTAAATAACAAAAAATAAATAAATTGTATTTATGCTCATGGTGAAATATCTTAGAAGAATGAATTGCATAGTTGTATTGATGAATAATTAAAGTGAAACTAAATTGAGATTTAGAGAATTATGAGTAATTTAATATTATTAAAGTATAAGTTGTCCATTATACATATGATTGTAATAAATGGCTAATTCTTATTGACTTGTGTTTATGCCCATTATAAAATATTTTATAAGAAAGAAATACTTAGTTGTATTGATGAACAATTATCCTAAAACTAAATTAAGATTAAGGAATTATGAAAGATTTAATAATATTTAAGTATAAATTTAGTCCATTGTACATAATACTCCATTATTCATATAACAACTAGAAAGTTTCCAATATTTCATATTCATTTCAAACCACTTTTCCAATATTTAATTTACTATTTGGTATATGCTGACACTTTATCGAAACATTTCGGATTGAAATTGATTTTGGTCGTTATGTAGCATTTGAAATACCAATGAATTGATTTCTCCTAGTCATAGCAAAGTCCATATGCTAATTAATGAGTAGTGTCGTGACATGTAAAACTTGCAATTAAATAACATGGAATTAGTCATGAATCTTGAACTTTAGCATTCGGTGAACAACCATAGAACATATGTACACTAATATAACCCCTTATGCATTGAGAAGAGGGAAACTTACGTCAGGGAAAAAATGTGACAGAAGAAAAAAAATAATTTAACATAAGTTCTAGCAAAAGGAGGAACTTGACTAATCGATAGTTGGAAAACAGGGAAACTTCCCTTATCCGCAACTACAAAATGTGGATGAATGGAAAAAATTATATGTGAGCAGGAAAAAACGTAAATCCTAACAAAAAAAACTTGCATAATCGATAGCTTGAAAATGTGGGTTAAGGATAAAAAGTATACATGAGAGAAATAAAAAAAAAAGTCTGTTTAAAGTAAGTCTTAGCGATAAGAGAAACTTATCTAATTGACAGCTAGAACATGGGACGATATTGAGATGCAACCCAGTCTGTAGGGTCTGCCTACAGCCTCTTTACGTGGTTTGCGACCATTGGATGATTTTTAATATTTAATTAAGATGCAAATTTTTTGAAAACGGAAACAGTTACGGGGACGCGGGCCTCCGGCGATCTATGCTCCAATGTAGTCGGCGATCCTTCCGTTTTGTTCAGGCCAATGACCTGACACTACTCCAGCAACGATGCAAATGTAATCGCCACAAGTATATTGAAGAAGAATTCTCTAGGTTCGAAAACATATTTAAGGTTCAATTCTGAATTTGGTTCAGTGTTTTTATGATTTGGAGAATGATTTAGTGGGAAAAAATGTTTTAATCCATAGAGATCGACGGAGGCCTTAATCGGTGCAACTCTTTCCATTTCCAAAAGATTTGCAACTTTAATCCATCGGAAAAGAGATTGCCAGAGCCTTCCGTCGCCGCAAATGTTTTAGTTTCTGATAACACCCAGCCAAGGTGTTTGATTCTCAACCCGAACTTGAACAAACAAGCTCTGCAACTTGAACGAGAACCAAGCCGCCAATCTTCAATTAGAAAGAACAACAATGATGGAACCCTTGTGCAATCCTACACCTGGAGGAAGGCTCAAGAAGTATGTGTCGAAGCCCGCCCACGATCAAGGGGATTTTGATCGATACAAGAGCAAAGTCGAACTTGGTTTTCTCGGCCAAGCTCTCAACCAAAAACTATAGCTACGAGACTTAGTTTTTAGGGTTTTCTTTTATTCATCAACTCAACTCCCTTGGTACAATACGTCCCCTAGGCCTTAAATAGAGAATACAATGAGTCTGGAAAGCAAAGAAACCAAAACAAATAAGGTAATCCAAAACAGTCCCAATTCTAATACAAAACGGAAACTTAAAATGCAAGTAACTAGCTGGTGTCGATGTCAACTTGGAGGCCCTCGTTCTCCATCCTCCTGCTTCCGATTGGATCACCCAATACCTTGTTTCTGTACTAGAAAATGCAAACTTTCATGTGGACTAAACGTTGAAGCCAGATTCCCAGCCGTTCGTCGTGCCCTGAGCTTCAAAGTGGCCTTCTCGAAACTGTTCCATGCCTTAGGCAAAAACTGGCAGTTTGCCTGTGTTGGGATAGACTTTTGATAAGCTCGAAAACCACTCTTCCCAGCATTAAATCGAGCTCCCCAACACTCCATGCTGCAAAGGGAGTTACCATCTACAACCCAAACCTTCCAAAACCCATTTTCATCCATCCAATAGAGAGGATTATACTTGCTAAGAGGGCTACCCAAAACAGCTCCCATACTTAACCAAAATCCCAGGTCTTTCCAGCAAGTTGAATTGGGTTCTTGACTCAACAATTTCCACTTGAAGATTGATTCGTTTGGGATCATATCAGTTTCCAAAAGAATTGTAGCTTTAACTAAATATTAAAAATCATCCAATTGTTGTAAGCCACGTAGAGAGGCTGTAGGCAGACCCTACAGACTGGGTTGCATCTAAAAATCATCCTAGAAAATGTGAGTTAAGGAAGAAAAATATAAGGTAAGTCCTAATAAATCGTATGATCCACCTTCTCACAGCCCACCAGACACTTTGAGCACACTTGCACTATTTATATAGTACTGGTTATAGGCTTTCTCAGTGACACTATTGATCACGATCCGGCCATTACTCTCGCTTCTTCTCGTACTCTTCATGGTTACTTTGATGTTACATGGGTGTTTTTTCTCAAGATCATAAGTAAATTGCCAATTTAATTTGTTGCGTTCTAGGGGAAATTTGTTAGTATTGCACCCTAGTTATGATGGCCTCCGATGTTATTTTGGTTGCAGTCTAGCTTTTCAAACTCAGTCACGTTCTTCCTTCTTCACAAATTCTTTAGGTGTGACAACTTTGGGGTGGCTTATTTTACTTGTAATACTATGTCGTTCAAAACATATGGAGATTTAATTTATTTTTTTCATCATCATTTCAACAAGTGTCAACTTTGTGTAATTATTTACCAGTCACGGAAAAATCATCGGAAGTATTAACCAAACATTGAATTACTCTCACTCATATTCCAATTTTTCTACTCCAAGTTTCGCCACCCACAGCAGTGGGAGAGAAAAAGAAGGAAATGATTGGTCCAAAGTCTAACAACAAGGGAGAAAAGAGGAAACACGGGAAAAGAGGGAAAAATGGTATTCCCTCCGAAAAATGACAAAAGAAGAATGAAAAAGGGGGTCTGGGCGGGTGGGCATTTTTTGTGTTTTCTTTATTTGTTTTGACTACCAACAACCATATTCTCCAACTACTTTTACTCTCTAACAGCCATATTTTTCCACCTCTATAAATATAATGTATTCTTCATTTTCATCCAACACTTCTCAAATACTCTTCCTACTCTCCAAACAAAACAAAAAAATTATTCTTTTCGAACTCTCAGCCATAGTAATTATGATTTCTTCCAGCGGTGATTGTAAATAGAATTACACAACGCCTGAAGACTATGCTTTGTGCAAGGCTTGGATATATTTTTCGCAAGATCCTATAGTTGGTCATTATCAAACTTCAACAGATTTTTGAAAAAGAATTAGGGATCGAAATTCTGTGAATGACTTTATTATCTTCCATGCTGATGGTGTCTTGAAAACTCGAAGTGGAATGCGACATTGAGTAGTGCAAATGCTAATCCACCGAGCAGATCTAACCAACTGGCATGGTTAGTCAACTTCTAATACATTTTAATTTAATTAATGGTATGATTTTTAAATTTTCAATTATTAACCGTGTGTTTCATTTTCAATTATCTATGTGCTTTTAATTTTTTTAATTTTCACTTTTAACTTACATATGTTAATTTAGTTGTATCTTTTAAACTTGCATTATTGCTTCTTTGGCCTATTTTATGATGGGTTGAGTTCCTTTGTCACATTTCAGGTCTTAGCACATAATGTGAAGCATAAGCGCAAGTTTCAAGTCAATCGGAGATCAATTGGCGACTTAGGGGCAGAAACTCGAGCATGAACAGAAGAAGAATGGATTTCTACCTCATATTTTGACCAGACAATCATGTAAGCTTGTCATGAGAAGAAAGAGGATGAGACTACGAGCGTCTAGGATCAAACGGAACCTGATTTGGAGTCCGAATGAGAGAGAAACGAAGAATCAAAGACAGGGGACCTGGAATTGTGAAATACCAGGCCAAAATACCCAACAGGGTATTTTGAGCATATGATAGGGTATTTTTGGCAGAATCAGAAGGACTCCCGATCGTGAACCAAAAATACCCGACCAGGTATTTTCCCTTTTGCCCAAAAAGTGACCCGGTGCATTTTGTTGATACCCGACTTGTTCCCTAAATACCCGACCGGGTATTTGGACCTGGTTTCGAAAACGCAGGCTGTTAAAAGCCTGTTTTTTGCGTTTTTGGAGGGGGAGATCTGGGGTTTGGTTCCTAAACACCCAAGGGACGAATCAAAAGGAGAGAGAGATTTGAGGGAAATCTTGGATTGGAATTGGAGGATTTCTTCGCCTTGGAAGCTTGAGGAACAAGCCCGGACTTGAAGTCTGATCATCTGAAGATTCTTACTACAGCCTCTCTCTTCTCTATGGAGTAACTTCCCTTCACTTAGGTTTTGAGGAACCCTAGCCATGTTTGTTCGATTGGATGATTGTATGAGTACTCCTACTTGATAATCTTGAGTTCATATTCAATCTATGCATGTTTTCATGATTCAATTCTTCTTTAGTCGAGATTATTGGTTCTGCTTTGATCCTATGAGAGCGAATACGTGATTAGGTCAATAGAGCATCATAGATTGATAGTATTGGATCGATTTCTTTAGTCGAGGGTTGATTCAATGCTTTGTATCGATTGAGAGCCTCATTCGATAGAGGGAATCTAGTTCAAAATGCCTTGATCGGTTGTTCTAGAGAAGGATACGTCCCTCTAGGCAATTGACTTAAGAGGGCCTTGTTCCTTTAGTTGAGACTCAAGGTCTAGTTAAAGATTCTCCGCATTGTGAATGAAAGTGAAACAGGTTAGAGATCATCAATCATTAATCTGGCTAGTGGCTAGGGGGAATTATACCTAAGTGAGTTCCCAACAAGTAATTAGATTAACTTTAACTGTAGTTTCCTAGAGTAGTTTTAGTTCTTCCATTTTACTCTGTTTTTCTAGATAATGAACTAAAGCTGAGTAATAGTAATTCTAGAGACACGTGGATTCGATATTTATTACTTGAGCCACTATACTGCAGTCCCTTTCATTGGTTACACTTGGCCTTTGTTAAGAGTTGTGTCATAGAGATGCAATGCCCCTATTGCAGCCACTCCACCAATGGATGGATCCCCATTAGCTATGTCAAACAATGAACATGATAGCCCCGACCTTCAATCAGTTGCTGCTCCAAGAGTGCTCAACCGTTCCAAAGGTTGAAATCAACAAAAGAGGAAGAGAAGAAGAGGTGGTGATTCTTCTAGCACAGATGCTTTTCAAAATAGCGTGGCGGACATGCTAGCAAGTTCGCCAACCCATGCAAGATTGACTGTCGTTAGGGAGGAACTGGAGATGGCAAAGGAAGCAAGGGAAAAAATAATTAAGATCTAGAAATCATGCTTCAGGGTCTTTCTCAATTGGATCCTCGACAAGAGCATGGTACCAACTTCAAAGAGACTAGATTACGTTTGCGTACAAACCCACTCCAAGTTCTACACCACCTAGAGGATCTAGCAATAGCCCATTTGCCAACACTTACACCCACGACTTGTTATCTTTAATAAGTTGTTTGATTTATTGTTGATGTATGCTTTATTTTTAGTGTGTTTGGTTTAAGTACTTTGAATTTACCTTTGATGTTTCCTTTTTAATTATGTTTCTGTTCAATTATTAATGAAACAAATTTCTTTATTTAGACACCATAAAATGGAAAATACATTGATAACAATCCGTTCAAAGCACAACAATAAATATGCACAAAAGATATAAAGTAAACTCAACACACAATACAAATTCAAGTAATTAATTAAAGTGCATAGATTAGACTTAGAGCCACACCAAATTTGTACTCCCCTCCTCCTTGTCTTGTCCACAAATGCTCAACCAAACTGTTTTCTACGCATGATGCCCGTCACGATTACGAATCATAGTATGCCTTATCATGCACTCCATGAGAGTCAGAGAGTCATGATCTGATAGATCCAATGTGACATCTAAATTAATCTCGTATTCAATCTTGTCCACTTGTTCCTCTTCAAACTCAAATCATTGGTCTTCAAGTATCATAGTGTATAGAATAATGCAAGTTAGAGTAACCTATCCCAATGTTTGTAAATCCCAATATCGATTTGGCTCTCTAATAATAGCCAATCTTTCTTTTAGAATGCCAAAGACTCTCTCAACGTCATTGTGGTGTGCCTCTTACCATTTTGCAAACAATTTATTCTTCTAGTTACTAGGGCTTTTGATGGTTTTCACAAATGTAGATCATTCAGGATAAATCCCTTCAACCAAGTAGTAACATTGATCTTAAATTGTACCATTTACTGCATACCTGAATTTTAGAAGATTTCCTCTGATTGCTTCACCGAAGAAGGCATGCCAAATCCAGGTGTCGTATGACGCTACAACTTCCAGGATGATTGAATTGATCACTATGATGAAGAATGCGACAAAGATCCTCCACATTTGGCGCTCGTAAGTACTCAAAGCCATAGATGCAGATGATGCCATTACAATATTTCTGCATGCATTGCAATACAATGGTCTCACCCATATCAAAGGTCTCAGTTAGGGATTCGGTTGAGCATCCATTTGAAAGCATCTGGAGGAAAGTAGTATGCTATAGTTCTTAAGAGAATGACAGACGGCTAACAACATCTCGTCCTTGCTGAAAGTAAGAGTCGTGTTGAACAATGTCAGTCACGACTAGGTTGAACAAGGAGAGGGGCATCTGAAATCTCCTTCCGAAGAACCTAGTGTCGCAGATTGCATTGGGAACAAAATACGGTTGCATCAAGCGTTGGTGTGCTTCTACCCTGTTACGCCTCACTAATTTATTTGAATGCGAATGATGCCGAAATGAGGATGCTTACTATTGGAACAGGAAGGCTCCTGTCATCACCATCATTTGTTGATGATCGCTGTCAAGCTGACATTCATACTCCCCTTTCCTATTATCAGCTTCATGCTGCGTCTCATCAACTTCTCTACTAGTAGAATTCATCATGCAAAAAGAGGTTTGGGTGTGTAGAGAGAAATAGGAAGTTGAGAGAATGCAAAAGATTAAATGGTGGGATGAATAGATGGACAAAGTTTAGCCTTCATTTATAGAAACACGAAAGGATTCTCCAGCAAGAATATGATTAAAGCTGGATGAATGAATAGTTGATGGCACCACTCAATATGATTAAAATTGCATGAACAGTTTATGATACTTGTCATTCTCATTAAAACTGAATGTACAGTTGATTTAACCACTCAATATGATTTAAAGCTAGAAAAAAATTGATGGCACCACTCATTCTTATTAAAGTTGGGTTAATAATGGCACAACTCATTTTGTAAAACATGTGATCACTCATAGTCTTCTACAAATTATTATGATTTCATCATTTATGACGTCATATTTAATTAGTGATGAAAAATTATGTTCAAATTAACAAAAATTATATCGAAATGTTCGTTTTAATTAATTATTGCTACCTATATATAATAAGAATAAATAAATTATCTAAATAAAGTGACGAAATGAACATTAAATTGATTTATTTTTTTCCTCCCTACCTATTGTGGCCAAACCCTTCCCCAAACTCAAATTTTCTCTTTCCCTACCCAAATTACCATATTTTTCCTATGACCGTTGTGGATACTCTTAGAGGCTTGACTTTGCAAGGTTGTGAAGGAAAATATACTTTTGCTAACCTTTTCCAACACCTTAGTAATGACCTTAGACATGATAGAGTTTGATTTGTACATAAGGTGTTGCTCCATGAAATGGAGATGGACGAACGCGTTAGCAATGATATGGTGGCGGGAGCGGTTGATCCACATCTCATTCAATGCTTTGTTTTGTTTTTCTCTCAACCACTAGTTGATTCTAATGACTTGAGTTGTTCGGAGATATTCAACTATGAATTTTTTTAATATTTAATAACACACCCCACAAGCGAAAGTACACTCATATGGGCTTGAAGTTTGCACAGGCATTAGACCACCATGTGCTTACATAAGAGATATGATATCATATCAAGAAAAAATTGATCTCAATAACCCGACTTGTTGAAAATGTTCAATTATGAATACAATTTACTAACATCTTTTTTTTTTTTTGCAATAATGGAGGCCAAGGCCAAGAAAAGGGGGGGGGGGGGGGGGGAGATTACAGAGCTGGAGGTGCCATCACTTGGCGCTCAAAAGAAACACCTATAACTAGGGCTGCAAATGAGTCGAGCTGCTCGCGATCGGCTCGGCGTTCGACTCGGGAAAAACTCGTTCGAAACTCGACGCATTTACTAATGAGCCGAGCTTTAGCTAAGCTTTCTGCAGCTCGCGAGCTAGCTCAACTCGTGAGCTGGCTCGTTTGGAGCTTATGAGATGTCTCAACTCTCAACATTGTAGCTAGAGAGCCAACTCTATTAACGACCTATGAGCGAATAGATCTATATGAGTTTGATTTTGATAATTTATAGGATTATTAAATTATATATCTCATCCTATCTGAAGTTTAAAATGTAGATTACGTGAGCAAATATGTCATATTTAATTTTAAAAGGAAATTATGTATCATATATAATACCAACAAAGTATAACATGAGACTAGTTAATATTTATCTTATGACTAGTTAATATTGAACACTTAACTATTATTTTTTATCTTCATATTAATCACATGTATCGACATACAAAATGAATATAGCAAATACGAGGCAAGATTTTATTAATCAAGCTAGTTCGAACTCGACTTGACTCAACTCGTTAATAAACAAGCTGAGCTCGAGCTCAACTCGTTTATTAACGAGCCGAGCTCAAGCTGGGGTAAAACTCGGCTCGACTCATTTGCAGCCCTACCTATAACATCATCCCGAAGGATCTGTCCGACCTCCCTAGGAGGATTAGAGAGTTCATGCATATCATAGGGATAGACGAGATTATGTTTCGAGTGCCAGTCCACGACTCTATTCCCTTCCCGATAAGTATGAACCACTCTAACCAACCAGTTATGAGCAATCCTCCTCGTAATAGAATCAAGTAAAGAAGCATACAAGTGAACAGGATCTCGTCATTTGTTGATCAGCTGAATGGCCAGGTGGGAGTCGGACTCAATTACAAGATTGTCGCATCCAAGTTTCCATGCTAGATTCAGTCCATGATAGAACGCCCACAACTCCATTGGGGCTGTCGTCGCCTCTTCAATCTTTGCTACAAAACCTACAATCCATCTCCCTTTCTCATCTCTGATCACCCCACCAGCTCCATCCATGCCGGGGTTGCCTGCCAAGGCTCCGTCGATGTTCAAATTTAGCCAACCTGCAGTGAAAGGATGCCACCTGATATGCTCTGTGATTCTTCCCGCACTCACGTTCAGCCTGCCTGGATTAAGAGAACGTGCATTCCACGCCTTGTGCCACTATATGGCCTTCTGTTGAATATAGTGAGCCAACGTCGGTGATGAAAAAGCTTTGCGAGCCTTAGTAAAGCACGTCGTACATATGTTTTTCTATATCAGCCAGAATGTCAGCGCCGAAGAAAGCTTTGCCAGCTCATGCCAGACTCCATATTGTCTTTGTTGCTCAAGTTACTGCGGAGCCAGCTGTCTTGATAGTGATTGAAGAACTCTGATTGTCTGTTGGGAGGAACCCAACGTGACCAGCAAAAACGCGCCGGCGGGCAGTCTCGGAGCACGTGGAGCAGCGTGTCCGGGTTGTCGTTACACTGGTAGCACTCCAGTGAGTCGGTGCATTTCCTGCAGAAACGCAAAGCATTGGTAGCAATCCGCCCCAAGGGAAACTAACCATGCAAAACATCTCACCCGTTCCAGCGTTGGGAGCTTCCATATGCCCTTCCAAACCGGATCACTATGCTCCAACTACACGGGATGAAGGAGCTGGTACGCCATCTTCGCCGAGAACCGACCATCTACCAGAGTCGTCTAGAAGATCTTGTATGCTTTTGGGGACAGCGGATCAACAATCACCAAAGTGATCTTCTAGATTGACTCCATCGCGAGCCACTGCGAGAGATGACTGATATCCCAATACCCATTCGCATCCAGGTAAGAGGCCACCGTACTTGAGTGTTCCTTCTTGGGAACTGATTGCATTGTTCTGCCGATGATTGGTTCCTGCAAAATCCAGTTATCCAACCAAAATTTAGTGCTTTTTCCATTGTGGATTTTCCAGGCACAACCTTTCCTCAAGAGACTAGTCGCTTTATTAAAACTCATCCAAGCAAAAGAACTTTCTTGACATGGTAGGAACATGTTTAAATCCTCTCTCTTCTTTTCATACTTTGATCTCATAATTTGGGTCAAGAAGGTGTCTTTCTCCTGCAGAATACGACATCCTCCCTTTGCTAAAAGCGCCAGATTGGCATGGCGGAGAGACCGAAAACCACCTCCCCCTCGCTTCTTTGGTTTTGTTAGCTTCTCTCATGCCACCAAGTGCATCTTGCCCAAGTTCTCTTCCTTACCCCATATGAAATCCTTGTTAATCCTGTCAATTGTGTTGCAAACATTAACAGGAATTAACTCAGTTTGCATAGTGTAAGTAGGGATAGCCAAGGATATAGATCGAGCAACTGTCAGCCGTGCAGCTAAGGATAGCCATTTCACTTTCTAGGGGGAAAGTTTCCTCTGAATATTCAGAATGAGCTTCTGATATCTGCTTCGGGTCACTCTGCCATGTATGGTTTGAATTCCCAAATACCGTCCTAGCTCCTTTGTCAAAGGAATAGTAGCTTTGTCACTCAGCCTTTAAGCTTGGAAAAGGACAGATGTTGGATGAAATGTACATCACGGATTTGGAATAATTCACTTTCTGACTAGAGCTCTTGCATAAATCTTCAAGGCATTGGAGAATGATCATCACTTGCGGCCCCTCAGCACCTACAAACAAAATCAGATCATCGGCAAAGAAAAGATGGGTAAGCGTCAACCGGCTCGGCGAAATGCTCAGGGGTTACCAACGCTTTTCGCTGACAACCTGATCAATTCTGTGAGAAAGACGCTCCATGAAAAGAACGAAATGATATGGAGAAAGAGGGTCTCCTTTTCGCACACCCCTCGTGGGGGTAATGGGTTAAGAGCTCCACACAAAACATAATGCATTGGATCCATGTACTAGGCAAACCAACTTCCACCAACGTATCTCTCAAGAAGTCCCATCGGAGCCTGTCATAGGCCTTCTCCAAGTCAATCTTGATCACCATGCCACCCTTCTTTCATCGTTTCTTCCTCAGAGAATGCATGACCTCTTGAACTACAAAGATATAATCTGCAGTTTGCCGGCCCAGAATGAAACTACTTTGGCGAGGAGAGACAAGCTTCTTCATGACCGCTTTCAGCCTACTCGTCATAGCCTTAGTAATGGCTTTCAAGCTCACATTATTCAAAGAGATGGGGCGGAGGTGAGTCACATATTCCAGCTTTTCTACTTTAGGAATGAGAACAACAGTCGACTCCGAAATGGCCGCTGGCAAAATACCATTCTCGAAAAAAGATAAGGTCGTTTCTGTGAGGGCTTTCTCAACAACCCGCCAAACCTGTTTATAGAATACTGCTTGAAAGCCATAAGGTCCCGGAGCCTGCTTAGATTTCATATAAAAAATAGCCTGGTGAATGTCCATTATCGAAAAAGGGCGAAGCAAACAAAGCCAATCTTCCTGCCCAAGTCGAGGGAAGGTTCCTTTAGGCATTAGATCAACATAATGGGACGCCTCCTGCAGGTAAAGGTTATCGAAAAATCAAACACAAGCTTTGCGAGCTCCTGTTTTTCCTGAACCCACTTCCCATTCTCATTTTTCAAGCATTCTATCTTGTTTAGGCAGCGCCGAATGTTGGTGATTTTATGAAAATATGCCGTGTTTCTCCCGCCATACATATGTTACTACCAACACAGACAAAGTCATGGCCATTATAATGAAATTAGGAACAAATTCACAAAAAGAATATATATGGATCATTCCTTGGAGCTCTAATTTTTCATTTGAGCTTGCAACAACATGACTCTTAGTAGACGGCGTGATTGCACCAATTATGTTTAACATAAAAAAAATATGGATCATTCCTGGGATACTATAACTAGGGATGAAAATTATGACTTGACACGTTTTATGTGATCAGTTTTGGGATGAGTAATACATGTTCTATAGGTGAGGCGGGTGTACATGGATACTCTCCTCGACCAACAGTTAACCTGTCATGACCCATCTCATTTTCGACCCATTTTTATCTAAGTTACATGTAAGTTTACTCAAATTACTTGGTATTTTATATTAATTACCTAAAATTTAACTATAATGAAGTTGTCAAATATGTGAGAATTTACATTTTTTGAATAATTTAATTATATTTAACATATTACACTTTTTACTTAATTTTTTAATGAAAAAATTAATATTTCTAATATTATTTTTTTTAAAATTACATTACATATTCATATGAGTCGACTTGCTGTAATCCTTTCCGGTAATAAATTACCCTACTACATATACTCAACTTGCCACGAAGAATATAACGTTGCTACCTGTGCATGGCCATTCCTAACTATGATAGTAAAGAGTTAAAGGGTGAATTAATCCAAAATTGCGATTTGCGTGAATTCCAAATCGGAGGGTTAAGCAAAGAAAGAAAGGAAAAGAAGATGAAACCCAAATCTAAAGCAGCGGTTGTGGCGCTGAAGGAAAATCCCGCCTTTCGTTATTTTTATTTTTTTTCTTTTTCTTCTCCTCTCCCTTTCCGCTCAATCTCTCTCTCTCTCTCTCGATCTCCCCCTCCTCTCCCTTTCGTTCCTTTCCGCGCAAAGGCACGTTCATCGTTCATGGAAGCTCTCAAACAAACAAACCAGGAAACCTGGAAAGAGATTCAAATGTAGCCAGCAGCGATAGCAGCAGCACCAGAAGAAGAAATCAACACAAGAATGTGTCTCCTTCTCCGCCGTTCTCATCGATCTCCTTCTTCTGTTTCAGGTTCCGGTCGCTCGCTTTCTCTCTCTGTTGTCATTTTAATGAGATCTTATGATTCTTTATACCTTTCGAGTCCCGACATTGTTTCAATGGTGTAAAAATGCCTGTGAGCTTCCGGTAGATCCAATGCCGCTTTGTTTTTTTTTTTTTTAGAATTCCGCATAGGCCAGCTGATCTTTAGAAACCTCAGATGGTTTGTTTTGGATCTTTTGGGAGACTTGGAATTGGCTTTGCTGCTAATTCTTGTTGGCATTTGCTTCAATTCATTGCTACTTTCTGTGTAGCTAGATAACGAGAGATTTCAATTCAGCTTCTAATTATGCATTCAAGTCTCTGTGTTGCTTCATTTCTCCCCGTGGTCACCTGATTCAGGTTATTCCTCCTTAGATAACCGATAGCTATAAATATTTGGAGGATTCTACACGAATGCAGAATTGTATTGCAATTCCCTCCTTTTCATTTCCCTCACACTTTTCAGTTAGTGATGTTCTCCATTATGTCTGTCCTTAGGTGGGTTATGATCAACTAGAGGTGCCACGATGTTTGAAGAAGGAACCGCGTTTGTTTGGAGGCTGATGACCAGCTCCGAGTCATATGGCCCGTTTCTTTTCCGGTGGTTCTTAACTGCAGCATTGGGTGTTCTGGCACTTGCGTATGCGATCCTTATATGGCAGAGAAGGACATCACTGAATTGGGTTAAAGCAGCTGCTAGAGCAAAGAAAGAAGCTTGGAAGAAACTGAATGTTCCTCGATCATCTCATTCATGGATGGAAGATTTAGCACAGATTAGGCTGCCTTCCACTTGCTGTGTTTGCCTCACTTCCTTAGTGTCACCAACTAACGCATCAAAATCTTCACCCCACAGTACCTCTTCGGTCCATCGTTGCTCTGTCTGCGGTGTTGCTGCTCATTTCTACTGTTCGGAGTTTGCTGCAAAGGACTGCAAGTGCGTCGCCCAAGCTGGATTCATTCAAGTCCAGCACCAATGGTCGGAGAGATGGTCTAAAATGGAGGAAATATCAGAGATGTCTGCCTTTTGTTGTTACTGTGATGATCCTTGTGGCGTTCCTTTCGTTACTGACTCGCCCACGTGGCACTGCCTATGGTGTCAGCGGCTTATACATGTCAAATGCCATTCTAAGTTGTCAAAAGAATCTGGAGATGTTTGCGATTTGGGTCCCCTTAGTCGAATTATTCTCTCTCCACTCTGTGTGAAGGACCTAGATGATAAAGGCTCTTCAAGTTCTACCCCTGAGGAAATCCCAGTTTCTACATTTCGTGGACAGCTGAGAAGGAGACGCACCCGTGGTAAAAATGGAAACAATCACTCTACCAATGGTAAGTTGCAAGATGCACCATCAGCTACAACTAAGGCCCTGGATTATTTGCTAAATGGGCTTGTTAATCTGAAGAAATCCGGAAGTGTCAAAACCAGCAACAATCGCTCCAAGAGGGATGGCAGATCTAATGGTCCAGTCAATGGATTGACTCACAAGAAAGATGGAACTACCTTCAACAGTCAACTTAAAAGATATGCTTTGGTCAATCTATCTCAGGATGCAAGACCCCTTCTTGTTTTTATTAATTTCAAGAGTGGAGGACAACTCGGTTCTTCTCTCCGAAGTAGGCTGAACTTGCTGTTAAATCCGGCTCAGGTTCATGCCTAAGCTCTTTATTACCACTAATCACTTTCATTGAGATATGTTTACAGCAAAATGCATTTCTTCTTTCACCCCCTTTGTTTTTTTTTTTTTTCCATTGCTCAAATTGGCCCTTGTTCTCATCTGGTGCGACATGTCTGCTTTGGGACTCATTTTAGTTAATCCTACAGGACAGCAATGAGACATTAAAAATTGACATTGTACTATAATTGGTTAAATTATTGCTTCAATGGAGTAATCTTTTCCATGCTATCTAGTTTCTTTATATGCAATTCACTCTTTGTGCTTCTGTAAATGAATGGTTTACTGATCAGCATTGTTGTACTATAGGTGTTTGAACTAAGTTCTTCTCAAGGGCCTGAGGCTGGTTTGCAGCTGTTCAGCGATGTGCAGTATTTCAGGATTCTGGTTTGTGGTGGAGATGGCACAGTTGCATGGGTCCTCGATGCAATCGAGAGGCATAATTTCGAATCCCCTCCCCCTGTTGCTGTGCTTCCTCTTGGCACGGGGAATGATTTGTCAAGGGTATTGCAGTGGGGGAGAAGTTTCAAAATGGCAAAGCGACAAGGTGGCTTGTGTGCTATCTTGCACGAGGTCGACCATGCTGCAGTTACAATGCTAGATAGATGGAAAGTAAATATTATAGAGGAGAACCTAGAAGGGCACACGAAGAACGAACAATCGAAGTTCATGATTAACTATTTAGGTGTCATTCTACCCTTGGTGGTGGTTGCAACTATCTTACATGATTCGCGACTATGGCATGGGAATCACTCATTGGCTGAGTTTGTTTTTTCAGGGATTGGGTGCGATGCTAAACTAGCGTATGAATTTCATGTAACTCGGCAGGAAAAGCCTGAAAAATTTAGCAGTCAGGTAAACTACGATATGCCTGAAGAGTTGGGGAGACAAAGACATTGTGTTTATTTTGAAGAAATCATGTATGTATTCATCTTGGTAACTTTGGTATTGTATTGAACTGGCCAGTTTGTGAATAAATTACGATATGCTAAAGAAGGTGCGAGGGACATAATGGACAGAGCTTGTGCAGATTTGCCATGGCAAGTGTGGCTTGAAGTTGATGGAAAGGACGTTCAGATCCCTAAGGTATGCCTGCACCGCCATGTCTTACATTGCAGTTCAAGTTCTCTATTTATGTGGCTTTATTTTTGAGAAATATATAATTTTTGTATTTTTCAAAATCCTTCTGTTTTCCTGCCGTCCAGGATACTGAGGGTTTAATTGTCCTGAACATTGGCAGCTACATGGGTGGAGTGGATCTGTGGCAAAATGATTATGAGCATGATGATGATTTTACCCTTCAGTCCATGCAAGATAAAATGCTTGAGATTGTATGCGTTCGAGGAGCCTGGCACCTTGGGAAAATCCAGGTATTGAGTTGTACTCCATCATACCGAATGTAGTTAACAAAGGCATAGGTGTTTTCTTTCATTGAGATGTACGACCATTCAGCGTGTGAGCTAGGCGCTTACTATTGAAATCTCTGAAATTTAGTGCCATAGTTCAGAGACTCAATAGCGAATACTACATTGTTGAAGGGCCAAAATGTCTCATCTTTTCTCATATGCTGTTCCACTCTCGTCTTGTAAAATCATACATCGCCTCACATCGTTGAGCAGCAAAGTGATTTGCAGATCGAAAGGCACTAGTTGTAACCGAGTTTTTTGTAATTCTGGGTTTAGGTTGGACTATCGCAAGCAAGGAGGCTAGCACAAGGGAATGTTATCAGAATACACGCTTCGAGTTCATTCCCAGTCCAGATAGACGGGGAGCCATTCATCCATCAACCGGGTTGCCTAGAAATCAAACACGACAGCCAGGTAAGGAATGATAGTTGTATCAGAATGACGAACCAAAAAAATATCAAGTGATAATGTGTTGTGGAAGTTTTGTTGCTGTACAAGCGAGACGGAGTTTCAGTTACAGTTGGGTTTTCTTTTGGTGTTTATTCCTCTTGCGGTTGGTGCAGGTTTTCATGTTGAGGAGAACACTGGAGGAGCCAAGAGGGCACGCAGTTGCGATAATGACAGAAGTATTGGCGGACGCAGAGTGCAAAGGAATCATCAACACATCGCAACGGAAGATCCTGCTGCAGCAATTGGCTCTCAATCTCTCCTGAGTTCCAGATCCAGACGACGAGTCCTCATTCGACTCGGATTAACAAAGCTTGTCACCACGGCTTTTTTTTTGCTTCATTAACATTGCCTTAGCTTCTCACGATACTTGTTTCTAATCTTTTTGTTTGGTATATAGGAGTCGGTCACACTCACACGAGCACATTATTGATTCCTAGAGTAAATCTTTTTGCTCCCTAGCCAGGCCCAACTGTCAGATGATAAGGAAACTGGCAGTTTGAAGGGAAAGAAAGGCCTTGTAACAGAACAGAGAAGAAAAGCAATAGTGTACCATTAAAAATATCACTGTTAATACGAATTCCGATCCTAATGATCTTTCATGCACTGCTTCAGAGTAGTTTGCAGAATAGTATGAACTAATTAGCTATGTGACCAGATCATGTGCCTCGTATTGCCTAAGCTCCATCCAGTTTTTGGACTGTGAGAAATCAATGTAGGGGTCCAAAACACTGCTCTAAATGACTAGTGTTACTAATTTACTACACAACAGAACCGTTTGTACAGTCATTTGCATTAACCTGTCTACACAAGATGCAAATGTACACGATTATTTATTTACTACAACATCTATGTACTTATACATCAAGTGAGTGAGTCAGTGAGTGAATGAATGAATGTGTTGTATAAGATATTCTGACCAGTCTCAATCTTCCATGACCAATATGGCTCCAGTGTGATTGAACCCGCATGAAATTTGCACAGCTCTCACGTTTTCGCCGAAATTTACAACCATAGGGTTTATATAATCTACATCACTTCCATGTCCCTGTGTATCAAAACGTAACGAACTTTAGCCCCTGGAAGAGAAGTGAATTTCTAGTAATACCATGGTTTTGCTTCAGAGAATGAAATGTAGCCCACGAAAACTATGGATGGTGGTTACAAACCAATTGGCCTCCAGAAGATTGACCGTCTTCTGAAAATGTTCCATGAGAGCCTCCCCAACCCCAGGTGAAGACTTTGCCTTCTGCGTGCGAAAAAACAGACAGATAAAATCACTTGAACTGTTCTGTAACAGCATTCTTCTACCTTATCGTGAAAATAATTAGTTAATTTATTAAACTTGGTACGAACTATGTGTTAAGTTTAGGATTAAGCAAAAAGCACTGACCAGATATAGCCGCAGTGTGCTTCCAACCACAGGATACCTGTCAGATTGGAATTAGTGGATCATCAGAATGCTTATTACCCTATGTCCAGGAAAAAGAATGGTGATTGTTGGCAGGAGTGATTACTTAAAACAGGGTGAAATTGGTGGTTGTCCCTGAGTAAAATTGAGGGAGGGTGAAAACGCAGGATGAAAGTTATTGGAAGTATATTTTATCTTAAGAAATTTGGTTCTTAGTTTCCTACTTGCTGTAACCGTCGGACATTTTTTTTGTTTTTTTGTTAATAGTCAACAGGCAGACAATTTGTATACCTTGTCGACAGATGATTTCTGGAAAGGTCCTTCGACTTTTTCTGGTAGACCAAAGGCATCAATGGTGCTGTAAACAAAGACAACTCAACTCAATTGGCAGGAAATTATATACTCACTCTTAGAAGGGGAGACAAGCCAAATTCTAGTTCTTAACTTCAAGGTTCAACGACAATACCCGATACCAAGGCAACCATTTTCGTTTGAGCCCCAAGCGTACAGCTCTCCAGCACCTATTCAAGAATGAAAGACTGATTACACAAATACTTGTAAGTTCACATATAGGGTACCAAAATGATTTTCCAGAAATGTTCCAACTCGAAGAATGAATCTCTCCACCTTCACAGTTAAGGACCAAGAAGCATAAAAAAGGTTCTCTGTTAATTTTCTTGCGAATGTAATAAGTTGCATTTCTTGAGGATTTGGCCGATATTTCAGAGTTAGGGAGTACTAAACAAGAATACTAGTGGAGACACGAACAAAAACTTCTTCCTTGCAGATTTTACTGGATCGGTACTTAAATGGCTTATAATTATAACAAGCTATGGAATCCTGAACTTTCAAGGAATTACCTGTGACAACACAAGTGTGATAGCCACCACATGCAACTTCTTCAGAAGATGGCAGCATATCAAGCATGGATGGGATATTGGCATTTTTTCCATCTCCAAAGCGCTACATATATACCAGAGAAAAAAACAAAGTTAAATCCTAAATGAATGGCCATAGTTCAGGTTGCTAAAGAAAGCAATAAACAAACAGGAAACCACTCTTGGTGCATACCAATTTACTGACAGCTCTTTCACCAAATATGAAAACAGATCCATTTTCTGCAAAAAGTGGTAATGGAAAGGCAATAGATATGATTGGCAAAGCATAGAAGATACCAGAAATCGATGATATCAAGATAACCTTCTAAAAGAAATTACCACCAACGCATGCTGTATGAAGCAAGCCAGCAGACACCTTTTTCACCTAAAGCATTCATCAGCGTCGCCAAAGAAAAAAAACAGAGGGCAAAGAGACCATAAATTATTAAACAGGACATTCAATAGAAATACATCAATCTACTGTTCAAATTTAAACAAGAATCACCTTACAACCCTCAAGTTTCTTAATGCGCCGTGGTACATATTCACTGCATTAAAAGACATTTAAATGCTTAAGAAAGTTGTACAAAAGAAAACATAAGTAGTGTCTTTTTAGCTTTTCAGCGTCTCTTGGAAGGAGAAAGTAAAAAAAAAATTTGTCAGCTTATGAATCTAACAAGATGGGGGACCTAGCATTACAAGGAAAATTATACCGCATAATTCAGTTTGGGTCTTAAATTGATTCCAAGGAGAACAATTATTAGCAGAGAAATAGTCCACAGATGTCCATAAGCCAAGATTAGTGCTATGACCAAGAGAAACTGAAGGAGATCCAAAGAAGAAACCGAAACACTAAATCAAACCTCTTGCTTTTCAGGAATCCCAGAATGCCTGCTTCACCGCTATGACCAAGCTGTCCAGAGTCACCTCCTCCCCAGCTCAAGGCATCACCATCATCTGTTCAGCAGTAAGAACTATTGAAGATTTTACACACAATCTAATCCTTGTAAGTCGAAAGAACTAGCATTGAAGAACAAGAGAGATCTTCTCCTTCTATTAAGTGCTAACCAGTAACAGCAACTGAATGCTCCGAAGCCAAAGCTACCATTTTGATGGAAATCCCACTCAACAATTCTACTTTTGTTGGTATACAAACTGATTTTCCCGCCTCTGCATACAACACTTAATGCATTACATCCTCCAGGTCGAGGACAAAAACGCCTGCTCGTCGACTAATTAACTACACAAAAGGAAGCCAACTAAGTAGCTGGTATATAATCAACATTCCAAGCAAAATTACTTTTTCCCAGACCAAGCTGTCCATTTGAGTTTCTTCCCCAGACATAGAGTTCTCCATCGACTGCAAGAGAGAAACAAACATGTCTAATTAGATAAAAATGAAGCATAGAGCAGAAAGACAAGGACAATATCACTTCAAATAGATCCATAAGAATACGAAGGATATGATTCCACTTGAACTAATATGAACTGTTCCATAAAAAATGCTTGACTAAGAAACAGAGATCCTGGTTAATGTTTACAGTTAGAAGTTAGGGTTCAGTGAATGCATTATGCTCTCTGTATATTGAAAAAACAAATCCAGAATGACTTCATATGTAAACTAGTAATCGTCTGTGAAATAACATACTTCATGTTGAATGTTATGGTGGATCCCTGAGTACCTAGATTACTCTTCATTGTCATCCACATAGATACTTTAGCAAGTAAATGATGGTTTTCTTATCAGGGTTACAGAACTGACCGTCATAAGAAATAAAAAGGTGTTTCCATTCCACATATTGCCTTCACCGAATCGAAGGTATTAATGTTCTTTCACCTCCATTTCAGCAGGGGACAACTTTTCACGTGCCCTCTTTCAACTTTTATGTCTAGCATTGGAACTGGAAATTTGCAGTTTATGCAAACAATAATTGTTGAACCAGCTAACCTGTGATAGCACCAGAATGATGATAACCAGCAGAAATTTGCACAATTTCCTTCTCCATTCCTGAAACTACCACCGGCTCCTGTAAAATCACGAAAGAGATCAAACTAATGAAACAATTGTTGTTCACAAAAACCAATCACATAGACAAGGCAATCAGCTACTAACGAAAGACATTAATCTCTTTCTTCATATATCCTTTCAGTTAGTTTTTTATGTCGCTGTAGTTTATTGGTGCAAATTATAGATAATTTAGTCAATAATAATATTATATGTTAGGTATAAGACCATGAGAAACAGAGTAACAAGCTAAAGGACAGCATAAGGGTCTATACTAATGACTTCTTACAAAGGAAACGGGCATCACATCTAATCGTCCAATTCTCTAGAAGATAACTGTCTTCAAGAGTGCTATTCTTTTTTCATTTCTTTTCTTTTCACTGCCCCCTGGCATGTGCTAAGAGGCTTTTTTTATAATAACTCAAAACAATAATCCGATAGCCACGCTAGTCAAACATTGATACCCATTAGGAAACTATAGGTAGCTTTCTTGGGTCAGGATGAGATCCAAGGTGATTAATTTCAATGGATTCCTTCACTAGCAAGACAAAGCTAGCAATAAAATGTCTGTAGGAAATCCTACCACCATCTGAATGACAGTGAAGGCAAGGGCTTCCATTCTGACAGTTTACATCTCTAACTAACAACCATAATCATCACAATCTAAAGCAAGTGAGTGGTAGATGGAGAGCTGAATAATTGCAATCCATCTTGCGACTTCTAACGAAACCCATTGTTCATGAAATACATTGTGTCAGCGTCCTACTAGCAACTATAATCTAAAAGCCATAACAAAACTTTAAGTCAACCCATTCCTTTCTGCTAGCCTAACAAAGAAGTGGAGACTCCTAACAGGTCAAAGTGCAGTCCTAGGCTCCTAGCACATAAAAAAGCCATCCATAAAATTTGAAGCAGGAAAGAAATTTATATGGGTTATATTAAAGGAGATCAAGATATTAGATATTGTACTGTACCGTCACATAACTACTGCTGTCTGATATGCCAAGTTGTCCAAAATCATTAAGACCAGTGGCAAAAACTTGCCCAGATTCTGTCAAAGAAGACTACACTTTGTAAGCCTTACTCTGATTTAAGGCTGACAAATCCACAAATTCACAAAAAATTCCAGGGAGCTAGGATGAGTAGTAATGTTAATCAAATACACAGGAAACAAAAACATCCATCGCAGCAAGCAGGGCATCAAAGCCATTCCAAATTATGCCCTGTGACCAGACGCAACGATTTTTATGGCGGACTAAGTTGGATCACAAATTGAGCAGCGATAAGAAGAACATGCAACAGAGACCAGAACTCCATCCCTAATCATCTATTGAAATAAACCTAGAGTCGTGGAAAATCTCAAACACACTGCTTCCTTGTAGTATTTTACTATGATTTCACAAAATACTCTGACAATTCAATTCCAGCACCAAAGAATATGATGATAAGAAGAAGAATAAATACCTGTTAAGAAGAGCGTGTGAGCTCCGCCACAGGCAATAGACTTGAGCGTTTGGTCTCGGAAGGATGACGGGAAAAGAGGCTTTGGGGTTGATTGAGAATCCAAATTACCGAATCCCAACCTGCCATAATCACCGTTCCCCCACAGCGCGGCGAATCTGGTCCCGGCAGCGGATGATGACATCCATCTCGTTCCTGTTTCCCGCAGACGGCGGAGCAGAGGGATGCCAAGTTTAGAATTCGCCATTACTGAATTGCGAGCAAGACTGCGAGAGGAGAAAGCTTTCAGGTGTAAGGAGTCAAGGAGATGAGACTCTTATCTCTCTATCTCTCAGTGCCGACGGACGATCGATTCAACTGTGAGGAAGTTGGTAGACGATCTCATCTCACTCTACACTTCACTTCCTTTCCGCGGCTTTCAACTACGCAACGTCTCCCTCAAAAAAACTACGCAACGTCTCCATTCTGCCTTCCTCACCCGCAAAGATGAGGAAATATTAAAGACGTGACGTCCTTACTTGATTACACGTAAGAACCGAGACCGAAGGAAAAAAGAGAAATCAATTGAAAACTAGCTTTCAATCTGGGCAATTGGCCGCAAGATGACTGTAATAAATTTGGCAAAATACACTTATATAGTCAAAATTTTGACGATTTGGTCAAATATAGTCACGTTTGACGAAATATTAAAAATAGCCACTTCCATCCAATTGTTTGACGGTATTAGTTAACGTGCTGACTGGACTAACGAATCGTCTCATGTAGCGATTTTTGACCCGTACGTATTTCCCACGTGGTTTTAGTAATAAAAAAATTAAATAAAAGAACAATAATGAAAATTTTATATTTTCAAATGACTAGTCTTTTGAATTGTGGAAAAAAAAATAAAACAAAAAACACTTATTTCCTCCCAAGTCTCAACCTACTCTTTGTTCTTATTTCCATCTGCCATCTCCCCCACCTCCATCGTCGGCAACATACCCTACATTCTCATTTTCCTCCGCCCACTCCCCATTTCCATCGACAGCAAACACCCCAAATGAAGTACCTGAATCCTCCGCCGTCGCCACCGCTTTCTCCTCCTTCCTTAAATCCTCGTCCACCGCCGAAATCGCTATCTTGTATCTTCGCATCCGCCTCCAAATCCGCGATATTCATTTCGATTCCTCCCAACCGACCTCCACTGCTCACTTCGCTCACTAAAATTACCTCCTCTCATCATTGATTTCATGCATAGGTGGAATTTGATTTCCAGATTTGAGGAATTTCTGGTGGGTTGCTCGATTCTTCCCGACGACGGCTCTGCCGCCAGACCAGGCCGGGAATGGAATGGAGTTTCGATGGGTTCTGGAGTTTCGATGGAAGAGGTTTCCCCTCAGCTCTTTGGCGCCCTCGCAAAGCTCTTCTCCAGCCAATAGCGTTATTCTGCTAACCCTTTAAGTGGTTAGCAGATACTAACAGGGTGGGATGAGCAGCCACGTCGTCGAGCCACCATCGGAGGGTGAGGGATCACCGGCGCTGTTCTGTGAGGGGGGAGGATTTTTTTGGGCAAGCCGAGCCACTTTTGGGAGAAGTGGGGCCAGAAATTTAAAAAAAAACCCCCAAAATTTCAAACCCAAAACCCTACCTCAACCCGCGTCAGCCATTCTCCCCTCTCTCTCCAACTTTCGAACCCTCTCCCTCTCCGTTTCTTCTTCTCCCGAAAACCACCATCAACAGCGACGAGGGCGACGAGGGCTGCGAGGTCGGCGACGGCTTGTTGGATCTCCCGCCGAAGACGTCGTTGAAGCTATCCCGACCGACGAGGAAGAAGACGCCACCGATTTCGCCGACGAAGAAGGCCGCCGCCGTCGCCGCCGATAGTGAGAGGTAGAAGAAGAAGTTGAGGTAGAAGACTTCACCTCTCTTTATTGTTGATTTTGTTTGTGGAGATCTGGGTTTCGTTTATCTATTTCAAAATTTAGGGTTCATGAGATTCGACTTGGGGGATTTGGATTTCTTTCGATTTGGGGGATCTGGGATTTTCTGTGGCTGGATTACATATATTTGATTTAGAGTTTCATAGATTCGACTGGATCTGAGTTTTTTTTTTTTTTTGCTTCATTTTTTGGATCTGAGATTCATTGTTAGGGATATGGGATTCTTGTCCGGGGATTTGAGATTCGATTTGGGGGATCTGGGATTCTTTTGATTTGGGGGATTTGGATTTCTTTCGATTTGGGGGATTTGAGATTTTCTGTGGCTGGATTACATATATTTGATTTAGGGTTTCATAGATTCGACTCGATCTGAGTTTTTTTTTTTTATCTTCGTTTTTTGGATCTGAGATTCATTGTTAGGGATCTGGGATTCTTGTCGGGGGATTTGAGATTCGATTTGGGGGATCTGGGATTCTTTTGATTTGGGGGATTTGGATTTCTTTCGATTTGGGGGATTTGGGATTTTCTGTGGCTGGATTACATATATTTGATTTAGGGTTTTATAGATTCGACTGGATCTGAGTTTTTTTTTTTTTTGCTTCGTTTTTTGGATCTGAGATTCATTGTTAGGGATCTGGGATTCTTGTCGAGGGATTTGAGATTCGATTTGGGGGATCTGGGATTCTTTTGATTTGGGGGATTTGGATTTCTTTCGATTTGGGGGATCTGGGATTTTTTTGTGGCTGGGATTTCTTTCGATTTGGATTTCTTTTGATTTGGGGGATTCGTTTTTTGATGTCGATATTGTTTGGGATTTCTGGATTTTGCTCGTTAATTTGATATTTTTTTACCTGGAAAATTGTTTAGCTAGCATGGGATACCATTTAGTTTAATGTGGATATTGTTTGGTGGTTGATTGTCCGGATATTGGTTATGTGATGCATAGATATTTGTATGCTAGGTCTGGATATTTTTATGCCCTGTATGGATATTAGTTCAACGATATTAGCTCTTTTCAGGAATTGTTTCTGGATTTTGCTCGTTAATTTGATATTTTTTTACCTAAAAAATTGTTTAGCTGGCATGGGATACCATTTAGTTTAATGTGGATATTGTTTGGTGGTTGATTGTCCAGATATTGGTTATGTGATGCATAGATATTTGTATGCTAGGTCTGGATAATTTTATGCCCTGTATGGATATTAGTTCAATGATATTAGCTATTTTCAGGAATTGTCCAAGATGAAAAATTCCAAAAAGGTGTTCGATGCCAGCTCCTCCAAGAGAAGGGGAGACGGAGACACATCACTGGCTCAATCCAGACGCATCATGCTGGGAAAACAAAGATTTTGACAACCTTGACCTAAATCAGGTACATAGATGTTGTCTTTGCTTCTTAAGTGACATGGTTGCATATAGTAAACTAAATATTTTACAACATATGTAGCTTGCGGCAATGGAGTCAATGGTTGAGAGCATGATCCAAATGTGGAGGGCTCGGGACGACGCGCTCAAAAAATTTATCAAGCGTCAGCAAGACAGCAGTTGAACTATTGCTTTCTCATTTCTTATGTGGTTGTGCTTTTTCGGATTTGAAATTCTTGGATTGCCAAGTTGTAATGACATTAAATACTAGTTTTATCGCGATTTGTCTATCAAACGACTCTTTTTATTAAGAATTCGAGTTTTTTATTCTGGAATATTATTTGCTCGTCAAAAACACATCTCCACAAAATAAGTTATCCAAACCACTCAAACTAATATCCGACTGTCGCACTAATATCCGTTCTCCATTACAAATATTCATACTACCCAGACTAATATCTCACCGTCTCATACTAATAACTAATCATCCCGAAATTAATATTCTCACTATCACAGACTAATATGTGACTACATATCCAGCCATAGTCTCTTAATTAGCAATTATCACAGGTTGAAAAAGACCTTACTTTCAAATTTTCATAAAAAAAGGATATATATACACACTATTTCTTCATACTTGAAAACCAATGTAGATAAACATCCATACAGAACAAAAATTCAAACCACCCAGACTAATATCCGATTGTCCCATACTAATATCTGCTCACCATCACAGATATCTACACCACCCAGACTAGTATCCCTTCGTATCAGACTATTATCCAGTCATACCATAATTATTATCCTCACCATAAGAGACAAATATCCATCATACACTGACTAATATCTTACCCCCGCAAACTAATATCCGACTACTCAGACGAATATCCACACATCACAAACTATCCATAATAATATCCTATCACTGGAGACAAATATCGAACCACCCTAAACACTAAACCAAAACTCCGAACTTGAAACTCTGACCCGAAACCATAAACCCGAACCCTAAACACTAAACCAAAACTCGAACTCTAAACCTTGTCATACACGTCCACATAGACACCCTTCTAATATCCATTCATTGCAAAACTAATATCTAATATTCACACAAATATCCAAACACATGAACTAAAGGAATATTTTCTCAAGTTCAAATAAATATTCACACAACCCGAACAAATATCACAATATTTTAAATAAAAATCATGTGGTTAGTAAAAAGTATTACAACTACGAACAACAAGTATTCACAACACACTAACTAATAACTTACATTTGTACCCTATACCCTAAACCATAAACTCTAAACTCTAAAACCCTAATCACTAAACACTAAAAAATAAAACTATTATTGTTTGCCCAAGCCGAGAATATTCAAAGGGTCCACACAAATATCCAAACACATGAACTAAGAGAATATTTCCTCAGGTTCAAATAAATATCCACACAACCCGGACAAATATCAAAATATTTTAAATAAATATCTTGTGGTTAGTAAAAAGTATTACAACTAGGAAAGACAAGTATCCACAACACACCAACTAATATCTTCTATTTGTACCCTAACCCTAAACCCTAAACCCAAAACTCTAAATTCTAAAACCCTAATCACTAAACACTAAAAAATAAAACTATTATTGTTTGCCCAAGCCGAGAATATTCTAAGGTTCCACACAAATATCCAAACACATGAACTAAGGGAATATTTCCTCAGGTTCAAATAAATATCCACACAACCCAAACAAATATCAACATACTTTAAATAAATATCAAGTCGTTAGTAAAAAGTATTATAACTAGGAAAGACAAGTATCCACAACACACAAACTAATATCTACTATTTGTACCCTAAACCCTTAACCCTAAACTCTAGACTCTAAAACCCTAATTACTAAACACTAAAAAAATAAAACTATTATTGTTTGCCCAAGCCGAGAATATTCAAATATTCCACACAAATATCCAAACACATGAACTAAGGGAACATTTCCTCAAGTTCAAATAAATATCCACACAACCCGGAAATATCAGAATGTTTTAAATAAATATAATGTGTTTAGTAAATATTATTACAACTATGAAAGACAAGTATCCACAACACACCAACTAATATCTCTTGTTTGTACCCAAACCCTAACCCTAACCTTAAACCCTGAACTCTATCACCCTAATCTCTAAACACTAAAACAATAAAACTATTATTGTTTGTCCAAGCCGATAATATTCAAAGGTTCCACACAAATATCCAAACACATGAACTAAGGAAATATTTCCTCAGATTCCAATAAATATCCACACAATTCGGGAAAAAATCATATTAATTTCCTGAAATATCTTGTCCTTAATAAAAAGTATCACAACTAGGAAAGATAAGTATCCACAACACACCAACTAATATCTCTAAACCCTAAACACATGAACTAAAGGAATATTTCCTCAGGTTCAAATAAACATCCAAACAACCCTTACAAATATCAAAATATTATAAAGAAATATCACATGTTTAGTAAAAAGTATTACAACTAGGAAAGACAAGTATCCACAACACACCAACTAATATCTCTTGTTTGTACCCTAACCCTAACCCTAAACCCTGAACTCTATCACCCTAATCTCTAAACACTAAAACAATAAAACTATTATTGTTTGCCCAAGCTGAGAATATTCAAAGGTTCCACACAAATATCCAAACACATGAACTAAGGGAATATTTCCTCAGCTTCCAATAAATATCCACACAATTCGGGGAAAAATCATATTAATTTAAAGAAATATCTTGTCCTTAATAAAAAGTATTACAACTAGGAAAGACAAGTATCCACAACACACCAACTAATATCTCTTATTTGTACCCTAACCCTAACACTAAACCCTAAACCCTAAACTCTATCACCCTAATCTCTAAACACTAAAACAATAAAACTATTATTGTTTGCCCAAGCCGAGAATATTCAAAGGTTCCACACAAATATCCAAACACATGAACTAAGGCAATATTTCCTCAGCTTCCAACTAATATCTTCTATTTGTACCCTAACCCTAAACCCTAAACCCTAAACCTTAAACTCTAAACTCTAAAACCCTAATCCGAGAATATTCAAAGGTTACACACAAATAAAACTATTATTGTTTACCCAAGCCGAGAATATTCAAAGGTTACACACAAATATCTAAAACTAAACATGAAACATTGAAACAAGAAACCCTAACACCGAACCCTAAACAATGAACACTACTAAATAAACTCTAAAAACAATATAATCAGGAAAGAATAGATATTCATATTGACCAGACTAAACCTTAAATCTTCAAAGAGAACCCAAACCCTATTGTTGAAACCTTAACCCTAAGCTCTATACCGTAAACCCTAAACCAAAATTATACCATAAACCGTAAAAAATAAACTATAAACAATAAAAACTATTATTATTTAATGGGCCTTCGGCCCATGGGCCCTCGGCGGGCAGCCCTAACTAAGGTTGCAAGCCTTATGTGTTAGGACTTGATAGTGTGTAGGACTTAATAGTGTGTTTAATTTGACGTAAGACACAATATTCCAATTCTTCACAAATTGAAAAACATAACCCTAAACCCTAAAACTTAAACAATAAATTGGTGTAATCAGTTTATGGTGGTTGGGTTATTTTAGGCCGCCGTTAAACATTAGTTTAATGATGGATATTGGTTTGCGAAGGAAGAATACAAGTTCATTTCAACAATGATGCAAAGTAATATCAACACAACACAAAATAATATCGACTGAAAACAAATAAATATTACACAAACAAACATACAGAAATATCAAAGGGGGCCCATGAATTTTCGTTTTCTTTCCACTCCTCTCCATTCTCCCGCCCAAACTCAAGCCGGGCCCACCAGCCCACCACGCCACTTGCCCAGATCTGCCGCCGCCGCTGCTAACTGGGCCGGCTTCTGCACGTTGGCCCACCTCCAGCTCACTTAAGTGAGCCGCCACCAAGCCGCCTCTCCCCTCCGTTGGATGAAACATGGGCCGACGTGGGCCTTCATCCTGCCCTGTTAGTATCTGCTAACACTTTGAGCAGTTAGTAGATTAACTTCTGCGTTCTCCAGCTGGGAAGAAATGGAGGATTAAGGACTTTCTATCAGTTTCAATTAGAGCGATCTATCGTTGCCGATCCTCCAGCCACACCACCAGCCTCGTCCCTTCACCTTCTTCCTTCGCTTCGATTTCAATTAGATACGAGAATGATTTGCTGCTGCCAATCCCCTGTGCTCTTCTTGTTTGAACATGGGTTATTCAATTTAGGGATTTTGGATGAATTAGAGAACTCGATTTGGGGTTCTTCTTGGTCAAGTGGAAGAGAGAAGAAAGGGTCCTAGGTTTGGTGTTCTTCTTACTCACCCAAGAGCTCTACCCCTTCTAGTCTCCGATTCCAGCTCTCACAAGGGGAAATACATCAGCGATAGGGAGGGGGCGAAGACGATATCAAAGTTGCCACCTCTGCATCTGTCTGTCTCTCACAATCGCCACCTCTCTAACGACGAACAGAATGACGGGGGATGGGTGGTGGGAGGTGGGGAGTAGGGATGGCAATAAAACCCGAACCCACGGGTACCCACCCGATCCAACCCGGTCAACGCGGGTAAAATCCGTGTTGACGGGTTTTGGGCCGGGTTTGGGTTTAAACCCGTTCACTATTTACCGGGTTGGGTTGGGTTTGGGTTTAGGTAAGCCCGGCCCATGGGTACCCGCCCACACCCATATAATTAATTTTCTCGCCATATTTAATATTCTAAACAACTAATCTTATTTATGTTTGTGGAGACATGTCTAATTTTTTCTTTCTAGTTGTGTAGAATGAATTTGATGTTATCGAGTGGAGATTGAAAAACTTAATTGAAAGGAAGAAGCTTTCAATTAATCATGTTATTTATGGATAATTTGTGATTTGCTTCAATTTTCTTGAGTTTTCTAAATTGGTGTTGAACAATTTGTATAGTTAATTTGTGATTTGCTTGAATTTTCGAAAATGGTGTTTTATATATGGATAATTTGTATTGGGAGATTGATATTTGACGTTAATTTTGATAGGAACTTGTTATTGTGAATTTTTTACAACAAAAACCCGTGGGTACCCATGAACCCGCGGATACCCAGCGGGTTGGGTTGGGTTTGAGTTTTTCAAACCCAGTGGGTTTTACCCCGGGTTTTTTTCACGAATAAACCCATGGGTTTGGGTTTGGGTTTGGCAAAACCCGACCCAACCCAACCCATTGCCATCCCTAGTGGGGAGAGAAAGGAAAAATTAATTTATGAATTTTTCTATTTATTTTTTAAGTAAAATATGACATGACATCTAAATGGCAAGTGTGGTTGAGTTGTCGATGACGTGTCGAGTGAGTTTGCAGTCAGATTATCGTTCCGTTAATTTGACTAACGGTGTCACTGACGCCGTTAAATTATGTAACAGAAATGGCTATTATTGTCATCAAACTTTCAAATTTCTGACTATTATTGGTATTTTCCCAAAAGTGGCTATTATTGTCACAAGCGTCAAAGTTTTGGCTACACAGATGAATTTTGCCTTTAAGTTTTAAACAATATAACTTGGTTTACATCGAGGTATTGAAAAATCGTATAAAAAAGTAGAATTGTAGAGTATTTTACTAAAATTGTGGTTTAATAATTTGAACAGCTAAACATACTTATGGTTTGAGGTTTAATATCAAGTATTTCTGGTCCGAACGGCCGGTATAATAGGGTTCCTAAAATATTTAATGTTTTTTAACAAATATGAAATTTTTGTGTATTATTGTTATTTGTTAGAAGTGGACAATATGTGGATTGGGTGACTTTCAATCTCAAACTTGCACACCCGATGAGTAAGATTGTAGCAATATGGACATCTCTTACTTTCTTTTCTATAAATCCAATTACTATTTGTATCAAAACTTTCATTATTTCGTCAACCAATTGTGAAAGAAGATGATTTTGATACATTTAATAGTTCAGAATTTGTATCTCAATATCTAAAAAACATTACACAAAAAAGTAACCAATTAATACAAACATATTCTTTATTTTCCGCCTTTAGAAGATGACACTCATTATGTAGTGTGGTTAGGAATATGACGACTTTTTGGTAGTATAAACAAGAACAACTCTTTTTCATATGAAAATTATGTGAGGGTCATTATGGTGGCCCGCAACATTTTCTCACCTGAATAAGTGTGGATACGAGATTTAATGACCCACATCCAACCCATAATCACCCACCCATTTTGGTTTGGTTTAATTGCATGTGGATCGATATAAAATCGCAGATTAACTTCCCACGTGTCCACCCCTAATTATGATAGTACAAAATTGAACGATATTGATATAGTTTATAACTCTGGAGAATAGGACCTTTCCTCAAGTGTTATTAGGGCTGAGATATGGTGCGATCTGGTCCAGACCGGACCATATATGCGGTCTACGGTCCAGATCGAGAGGTTAGAGTATAGACCACAGACTAGACCATAGACTATACGGTCCAAACCAGACCACGCCTGTGCGGTCTAATCCGGTACGGTTTGGTCTAGATAGACCACAGTGAACGAAAATGAACAATTTAATTAGTCAACCGCACAAAAAAATTGAATCAATAGCCAAGAAAAATGTTTTTATTTCCTTAAAACTTAAATTCCTACATGCATGGATTATTTTGACACCATAAATCTAAGTAAATAATAAAGATACAAAGTCAAAACATCCCAACTTGTCTCACAAAAAAAATCCCAACTTGTACCATAACGTCATAAACATTTACATAATGTCATATGGAGACATGATCGTCTCTACTCTCTAGTGAAATGTAGTTGTGAATGAAGGAGGGGACGAGAATCTCAAAATTAAGATTGAGACTTGGGTATCGTTGTGGGAGCTGGGAGAGTGGTCTAGTGGGTTGCTAACACATATTGAGAAGTCTGTTGGGTCCACGGTTTGGTCCGATAAACCGCGGTCCAGACCAAACCAGACCATGATATCAAACATCATATAATATAGACCATGGACCAGACCAGAGTTCAAACCATAATTAACGGTCTACGGTCCGGACCAAACTGTTCGGTCCGGTTTAGACCATGATTTTTCAAACGATCTGGTCTACTTTTTCAGCCCTAGAGTTATGGTGTACATGAATCAGACATCTATAGCATTAGCATTATAGAAGTGGATGATATTTGTATATTTTAGTAACTCTAATCTGATAAATAGGAACGTGAACGTGATACATGAAATGTCAACCTACATGACCCGTTAATATGCGATTATGACAGTCTTTAATTTTTTATCAGACCAATACCTTGTTCGTTTAGGTGGGATTATTTTGAAGGTACTCCTAATAAACATGGCGATGTTGAAGGACCATGGTTTTACAAAACACAAGGATCGCCGGGTAGATCGATAAATGAGTAATGACCATAGAACACATCACAAACAGTATTCGAACTTAAAATTGGTTTTGAGTGAAGAACAAGATCTGAATTCTGAAGTAAATTCAGGTCTTTGTTGAACTGAATTCAAACACATCCGGTAGAGCAAAACTAGGAACCCTGATACCCCCCCCCCCCAGCTGACAAGTGACAAGAGCGACATTCACCATCCATCAACAGCATCCATCTTCCAGTCAACCATGTCAAATTGTCAACAGAAAACAGAACAAAAGCAAAAGAAACCCTAGTGAATGGCCTTTTATCAAGGAATAATACAACAGCATCATGAACAAAAAAAAATTCACGTTGCTGCTACTACTTGCAGCATTCATTTCTCTCCCATTACCACAGTACCTCTAGGGAAACATCAAACAGGCAACAATATGATCAGACGGCACAGAGAATCTGCTGCAACATAGAACCAAAAGGCAACGAGGAAATTAGTAAACCCATAAACAAGCACTGCCCTTTATCTGTCTAAGAAATAGTCAAAGTTGTGCAACTTCCCGCTGCCCTCGCCAAGGCGCCATATCTGTATACCACACCACATCCATCATCAGTCTCAGAAACATCTAATTGATATTCAAAAGTTAGCTCATAGTTATACTACTCCAGCACCACAAGGTAATTTAACAGTACAACAGATAACCAGCATAACATCAAAAAGACAGTCAAATGATGGGAGTCTCATCGCAATATCCAGAATAATTCCCTTTCATATATAGAAAGAAGCTCTCCAACCTTGTGTCACCAGTAAAAAATGAGCCAATCTTTTCATCTCTTTCTTCCACCACGCTCTCTCAATGTCAGAGAAAGAGAATCTCCACCACCAACATTGTAATAAGCAAGGGTCATATTATCCTTCAGAAAACCAGCCTTCCCGCTCAATTTCTGCTTGTTTGCCGGCAGTTGAATCTCTCCAGCGATCTTCTCCTTCAGACTGCTAATAGTTTCAGACAAAGACTGCACCCTGATCTCCAGAACTTGACCTCTAAGATTCCCTTCATCATGATTCGGAACAGAGACATTGATGCTTGCAGGTCCCTGAAAAAAGAAAGCACAAATTAACCCATTGAATGGCAATAAATGACAACTCAACGCATAAAAAAGGCCACGATAAGTATTTAGAAAGATCAAAGACAACAAATAATGCATACCGGATGATGGGCCAGAAATTGATCTTCTGGAACAAGCATTGAATCATCTAGCTTCTGCCTCTTAGGCTCCGGTTCTTCTGGAAGTGGTGGAGGAGCATCTTCAGGGGGAGGCGGTGGAGGCACTAGCCCCTGAGGCAAAGGTGGTGGAGGTGGCATTCCATGCATGGGTGGCGGAGGCATAGGAGGACCAGGAGCATAAGGCCGATGCATTTGTGGCATTTGAGGAAACTGAGAGCCAGGTGGAGGTGGTGGATTCATAGATGGAGGCATGGAGGATGGTTGTTGATTCATCATCATATGCTGCTGACCTGACATTGGAGGTGGTGGCGGCCGCATTGATTGCATCATTGGCATACCTGGTGGCCTTGGTTGGGGGACAGGATATCCACCACCACCCATTGGAGTTGAATACGACATGGTATTTGGGGGTTGTGGCATGCGGGGGACATTTAGGGCGAGTCCAGGTGGCGGAGGAAGAGGCCGGAGAGATGGTAAACCAGGACGAAGTGGAGGAGGAAGAGCAGCTGGGCCAGGCAGCATTCTTGTGTCAGCGTTCATACCATCATTCTGATCATCACCAAGACTTTGGGACATAGCTTGGTTTGCAGTTCTCCCAATGCTTCCAGTGTGACCATCCCATATAACTTGCTTTGGCTGCTCGTCTTTCTTCTTCTCAATTTCTGCCTGGACAGCATTAGATACTTCTTCCTCGGTAGTTCCAAAAATATCAGGACGGGTTCTGGCAAGGCCCACAATGTTTTTGGAGATCTCGTCATCAGCAGCAAGAGTGGTCTCACGAATCTTAGCAAACATCCTCTCCTTTTGCTCCTTGTACTTGGGATCAATTAGGGAGATCCTCATGTGCTCTGACATCTCACTAATAGGAATGAGCTCACCAGTAATTGGGGAAACAACAAACTTTGTTGGATCTCTCTCTGCTGGCAGCCTCTCCTCTGGTCTCTTCCAGTTCTTGACAATTCTCATTGGCTGCTCTGGTTCCTCATCCCTCTTACCATTCCCATTCTCTTCAACAATACTAGCTGCCCTCATTCCTTCTTCAACAAGCTTCACCTCCTCTTCATCCATTTCCATTTCTACCTCCTTTCCAGGCTCGACAATTTCATCATCTTCCTCCATCGCAGTGATCTTGCTTCTCCTTATGACCTCCTCAAGAGTCATTGGAACAGGCAACTCCTCGTCCTCATCATCTGCAAAGTCAATGGTTTCAACTACAACGAAATCATGCCAGTCAATCATGGCCATTTGTAAACGCTCCTGCTCAATCTCATCCTCAGCTTTTTGTCTTGCCTGCTCCTGTGAGCGCTCCCACTCTAGGCGATGCAAGCATCTCTCAAGCACAGTCGTCATGTCAGCAACACTGTTTGTCAACTTCTCGGTCAACCCTTTAGGAGGCATCAACACTTTCGAATATGCATCTGCAAGTCCAGTGAAAAAAGTGAACATGCTGTGGGTTGGCTTCATGAAGTGGAACTGGGGATTGTTCATCTCCCTATTTGTCAGGCCAGTAAGGAAAGATTGCCCATTTCGAGCCACAAATTGGGCAGTCAGCTTAATAATATCAAGTTCCTCTCCCGTAATCCCTTCAGGAAGCTGCACTGTATATTGCTCAGCTTCTGGGGGCTCAAGGACCTTCCGAAGTGGTATTCTGAATTGGGCAGCAGGATCAGGTTTTTGGGCTGCTTCATTCTCATCATCAGCAGAAGGAGCAGATGGAGTAGACTCTGGAGGTGCACCAGAATCTGCTAGCTCAGAAGCAGGCTGGTCTGTAGAAGACTGGTTCTGGTCCCGCGATTCAGTCAATTTGTGTTGATAATATGCATGATAGGCATTGCTGGGATTCAAGAAGTCAAACTTAGCATTGTTGGCATTGTGAGCAATGATCCTTTTCTCAAACTCCGGTCCATTTTTTGCAACAAACTGAGCTGTTTTGTCGACGATATTCCGGATATCAAGAGGAGGATAAATGATACCAATGGTTCTAGTGTGGGTAGCAACTGGCGCTGCATTCTGTTCCTCGATTACTGGGTCTTCTCCGTTTGAGTTCTGCTCCGATGCTTGGAATGGGGGAGGAGAATCTCCCGAGTGAGGAGGGGGTGCTGGTAGGGTCAAAATTGCCGAGCCCGGCATTTTACTAGTCCTGATTCAAGTTCTTCAGATTAACTGCAAAACGAAAATTGCCACCAGAAGGGAGCCCAATCAAGTTTCGGCAGTAGATATCTGGAAACAAATTTCGAATAACCCAGACGTCAAAATTAACTAAAAACCCAAACCTTAACCCTAAATCTTCCAAACAAAACAAAAATATAGATCGAATTCTATAAGCAGCTGAAGCGCGGAACTCAAAAGGGGAAAACGTACCTTTTCAATTTCTATGGCAGAGTCGGCGTGGACGGCGAGAAGGGAGGAAACGGCACGGCGGCCTGCCTTTGGCTATCCTCTACTTCGTTGCAAGCGCTCTCCTTCGCGGGGATGGACAGACGATGGCCGGCCCCGACGGGGAAAAAGTCGCAGTGTTGTAATGGGGGTAGGAGTTCGGAAAGATGTAGATTGGAGGGCTGATGGAGTTCCAATTTGGTTTGTGATTTAGGGTTTATGATTTATAGTGGAAGTCTCGAGTATGATTCGAGGGGGCTCGCGATTTCTTTTTTGCCAGGAAAAGAAAGAAAAAAAAATCGCGATTTGGGGGTTCAGATTTCGAGTGAATTTTTTTGGGTGAAATAAGGTTGTCAAACCGGTTTGACCGTTGCTCTGGTTAGCAATTATATAGTTCAACTGGTGATACCATACCAGTGCCGGTTCATGCCGAATTGAATTAACAAAATATGAAAAATCATTAAGTTTAAATATGTATAAAATATATTTGAAGATAAATTACTTATAAATTGTATTCATATTTAAATAAAATTTAATATTCCAAACAAAATAATAAATGTTCATATTTAAATACAAAATTTAATGTCACAAATTTTTATACTCGAATGCAACAAATAGCATCAATATTTAAATTTTAAATTCATAAAATTAATTATTATATTAATTAAATTCAGTAAAATGACGTAGTTTTGTTTTTATGTCGATAATATATCATATCGGTCATACCGATGGTATTCACACAAGTGGCATGACCGATACTAGTTGAACTGATCGGCATTCCACCAGCTTCATAACCATGGATGGAACCGTGAAATATATTAGTACCTATTGTTGAGCATGTATGTACCTTTTATTTAAATCGCATTAACTTAATACATAAGATTGCATATATACCTTTATGTATTTTTTGTACTTGGAAAATAAAAAATACAAAAAAGCATTCTCTCTGTTGCGAACGATCGTTAACTACAAACCTTCACCACCACCAGCAAGACCAAATTTACAATTATGACGGCAGAGAGAAAAGGGGAAGAGGAGTGATGGTGGTAAAAAAAGGGGGAAGAGGAAACCAGAACGTTCTTAATATTTAATGATAGATTGCGGCCCTAGTAAAAGAAAACATAGATTGCGGCCGATATATATGATCCTTGATTGAATATCGAATTTGGTCCGAGGGATGCGAGGCTTTTAGCCGAGCCATCAACGCAACGATCCCACGCAATTTGGCACAAGAACTCGATAGGCACGCTCAATCGTCGAAATTATATTTTTTTAGTTATTTGAAACATTTTAATATTTTTCTATCATTAAAAATTGATTTTGTGCATTTATTTCGTATGTATCTCTTATTCCCCTTGCCCATAGAGGGACCTCATGTTTACCATCATGGCATGCAAGAACCTTGCTCTATCTACACAAGACGGGATTTGCCATCACAGAGTTGCCAATCACTGAGAGGTCATTACACGCAACTCGAGAGCTCTCGAAGAATGTTAGGGGCCACTTATTAAGGACCATTTGGGCTTCGACATGCCGACGACGATAGAGGGAATGGGTCATCCTCCGTTGAACGTGGAGAAAGTATCAATCTCATGGCTCATTGCATATTTTAGATGAGATTGAGATGAATGCGGACAACCCTGAAGCTACATTGGAGCGATATGCCCGTGTTTATCCTATTGCCTTGGTTGGTAAAGTGATGTTTCCGAACTAGGCAAATAGGTGGATAAATGACATGTAGCTTTGTTGCTGCTCAGTGAGTGGGACGTGGGACGTGATATGGACGAAGAGCTAGGATCAACTTGTTTAGAAATGTTGTATTGAGAGCTATGTGATTGTTCAAAATTGACTACAAAACAAATCGATGGTGCTATATTCCGCCTTTAACTTTGGGCACGGGAGCATATTTCGATTTTCACACCACGTGCAAACCAGACAATTGGGCGCATAACGAACCACAGGTAATGCCCCTTATGGTGCTAAGTAATTTTATATTACCTCCAACATTTTGAGTATGTATTTTTATGGCTATTACATTTTAAACTTTTTTAGTATGCATTTGATAACTATTATGTTTTAAGGTTCTTACATGCTTACGTTTATTTTCAAGGTGGGTTGGAGTAAACACAAATGACCATCAACTTGAGCACTCTCTATAGACTATAGTATTACTGTGAGATGTTTGACAAGTCTTGGTAGAATCAGGTAACCATCATAACTGCATACATACAATTTTCAAATGTGACGACTAGAGTGAATATATATAGTACTAATTACAATTGTTTGATGATTGTAGATGAGGGGACCCATATCCACAATCTATGTAAGAGATGCATCATCCCATACACCCCGAAGATCACGAGAGCTGGTTGTGCAAGGTGCCTCTGATTTGTTGGCACATCCTCAATCGAACGCCATCATACTTAACAAATGGGGTGGGCTCAGCAGAAAGTTTCTTCCCATGGTACCCCATCTCCCACATGGCTACCTGTATAACTACTTTCTTCATAGTTGTTTGAACAACTACCCGATTCCTACACTCCTGCAACACCATCACCATAAGTCATAACTAGCTCCATTTTGGCTGATATCATCGGTCTCAACATACACCTCTGCAAGCACGATCTTGTTTTTAATAGGAAGTGCAATATCATGTTAACTCAATCATTGTCATATGTGACAACTTCTTCGTACATGACACCACCTCCATTGATGTTTGGATATCAGTAAATAATTTTACAGACCCTCATCTGCCCCCACTCTCATACAAATTCGGTCTACACAAATGTCATAGAAATCTTGTCACGTGAATTTGGTCTCAATCTTCAACCTGGTGGACTCACCATCTTCATAATCGACTCAATGTGGGAGTTTGCCATCCGACCATTCCACGGAATAAGAAGATGGAATTTATGAAATGTACTAATGTTTTCAATTTAAAATAATGGGTAAATTGCAAGTTTGGTCATTGGGTTTACTAAAAGTGTTAAGAATATTTAATTTCAATGATGGTCACTCGAATTAGTAAAACGGTCTATGTTTGGTCACTCTCCGTTCGTATCCGTCCAACTCCATTAGTGAAATCCGTTTTGTGCTGATGTGGCAAACAAAATAATCTAATCATCCGAATTTAACCCGAAAATGATGAAACCCGACCCGCCATGTAATCACAACTCAGCCCAGCCCAACCAATAACCGACCCAACCAAATTATATGTTAAACAGATCTCAAATTAAATCCCCAAAATATCATCTTCCTCCCAAGTCCCGACTTTCTTCCTCCTTTATTTCTTTGATGGTTCACCGGCGATGAGGGAGGGGAAGAGCCAGACCGCCGCCTCCGACTCCCACCACTGCCTGCCATCTCCGCCACCGCCTCTCCACGTATCACCGAGCTCCTCCGTCGTTGCCATCTAGAACTATTCAAACCGGACGAGCTCTGTTCACTGAGCCACGAATTCGAACTCGCCGGTCTGCTCCAGAATCGTGCGCCGCCAGAGCTCGATTTCCCATGGATTGAAAAAGCTGGACTTCAAGGTGGGCGGCCCGACGAACCACAACGACATCTTGGATTCGAATCCTTGCAATTTTGTATTTCGGACCGACGATGAAGTTGTTGGACTTCACCAAAGACAAGTAAAAAAGAATAGAAAGAGGGTGATTTCAGGGTTGCTGCTGCTGATATATCCGCCACGGACGCACGGTGAGGATATGGAATTCAAGATCCCAATTAGTCGACTCTGATTTGGGCAAATCTCAGCGAACAATGGGGAATTTGTTCTGGGTCGAATTAGGAATTCCGAACTAACCTGAGAAACACTTGGGGTTTGTCGTTGAAGCCTAGAAGCCATTCTCGTAGTCGTTTCTGTTGAAATGAACCCAGTAGGGCTCCAGCTACCGCCACACATTGTTCGACAAGAAGCAGCAGTCAGAGGTGCCTCGAGGGAGGAATCGGAGGTGACTGGAGAGAGGAATTTGCCGGATTGGAGGTAGGGATGGCAATGGGTCGGGTTGGGGCGGGTTTTGTCAAACCCAAACTCAAACTCATGGGTTTATCGGCAAAAAAACCCGGGGTAAAACTCGTTGGGTTTTAAAAAACTCAAACCCAATCCAATCCGCTGGGTATCCGCGGGTTCATGGGTACCCGTGGGTTTTTCTAGTAAAAAATTTACATTAACAAGTTTCTTTCAAAATAAAAGTTTAACATCAATTTTCTCATACAAATTAATCATACAAAAAACACCAATCTAGAGCATACAAGCAAACCGTAAATGATCAATACAAATTGTTCAAAATTAAAAATAAACATCTATAAACAATAAGATTAATTGAAAGCTTCTTCCTCGTCAAAAGTTTCTTCACTCTTCGCTTCCTAATATCAACTTCATTCTAAACAATTAGAAAGAACAAATTATACATGTCTCCACAAACATAAAGAATATTAGTTGTTGAATGAAGATATATTATTTAGAATATTAAATATACCGGGAAAATAATTATATGTGAAATGGGCGGGTACCCATGGGGCGGGTTTACCTAAACCCAAACCCAACTCGACCCGGTGAATAGTGTAGCGGGTTTAAACCCGAACCCGGCCCAAAACCCGTCAACACGTGTTTTACCCGTGTTGACCGGGTTGGGTCGGGTGGGCACCCGTGGGTTCGGGTTTTGTTGCCATCCCTAATTGGAGGAGGCAGATTCCTTGGCGGTGATGGAGGGAGCAGGGCGTTCATGGCTGCAGAGAACTTGGGATCTCTGAAGTTGGGAAAGAATAATCGCAATAAGACTTCGGGGTCGTTTGGAAGGTGTGATAGTTTTGTTGAGATTGTCATTATGCATGTAATGTTTACAATGCATCGTTTTTTGTTTTTTTGTTTTTTTAGGAGAAACAATACATGGATTGTTTCTGTGATGTGATATAACAATCACTCATTTTGAGTGATTGTTATATCTCAACTTTTAGTTGTGATTGTTGAGATAGTTGAGTTGAGATTGTTTTGTCTCAGCTTTAGGTGATGCGACATACACAATCACACATACCAAAAGTTGTATTCTACAATGCATCAAATTCGACCATACATGTATAATATTATACATGCATTCTCAACAATACATCTATTTAACAATCGCAACTTCCAAACGACCCCTTTGTTACGGGTTGGGTAGGAGAAATGACATTGCAGTCAGTTTAGTGATGTGGCGGGTTAAAATTGTGTGAGTCATCACTTCTATTTGCCATGTCAGCAAATGACTAATGGTGTTAACAGAGATTGACGGAGGTAACGGAGAGTGACCAAACATGAACCGTTTTACTAATTCGAGTGACCAGCATTGAAATTAAGTATTTATAGTGACTAAAATTAACACTTTTTAATAAACCCAGTGACCAAACTTGCAATTTACCCTTAAAATAACTAACAATAACATACAACATAAAAAAACCATAATCCATCATACAATCTATTCTAATCAAAATATTTAGCATAATTGGGACTAACCATAACCAGTGCATGCAGCTCAAACACATAACTACTTTACCATAAGCATACTAAACAAATTTATCAAAACTATAATTAACAATCACATACAACATCCAAAATCATAATCCATCCTACAATCAGCTTTAATCCAAATATTTAACATAATTGACATTAACCATAATTAGTGAAATACAAACATATAACTGCTTAAACATGAAGATACTAAACAAATCCATACATAACTTACAGTAAGAATGAGAGAATGGAGTTATGGAGCTTTGTGGGAGTTTCTCTAGGAGTTTCTGCAAGTATGGAGTAGAGGGGAAATGAGAGTGAGGAGATGGGATGGGAGGAGGGAATGCCATTTTATTACATAAAAATTGAGCAATGATTCCTTCAGGTTTAAGCGATATGTATTATGATCGTTGTTGGGTGAAGCAATTAACACTTCATCGCTCTAATAAAAAGCGATCCAGGCATTGATCGGTCTACCCAAAACTGCCACTACCTGACCTTATCCTAGTCAATTTGTCGGGGTGAAAGTAGTGGCGTAGTCAAGATTTCACTTAAGATGGGTCCGACATAAAAATAAAATTATATAAAATGAATGAAATGACCTATAACGTGTTTCATAGTATGTCGACATATTTTCGTTGGAAGGTGGATAATTCAATACTAAATTGAAAATTAGTAAATTTATAATACATAATTAGGGACACAGTTTTATATAAAGTCAAGAGTTATTTATAGGGCTGAAAATTGGCCCGACCCGCCCCTGACCCTGTCTGACCCGCCCCTGAAGGGTCAAGATGTATAACTGACCCGCCCCGACCCTGTTTCTTTCATGACCCTGTCTGACCCTTTAAGGTCGGGGCGGGTCAGTGGGTCGACCCTAATAAATAGACTACTTTTCTAAAAATTACAATTTGGTACCCGAATTTATTTTTTCTTACATTTTAGTACCTAAATTTTATTTTTTTACAAATAAGTCCCTAAAATTTGATGGTAAAATTACGTTTTGGTACCCAAATTTTTTAATTTTTACAATTTAGTACCTAAACTTATAAAAGTTTACAGATAGGTCCAACATGTTTGTATGATGCTAAGGGTCATAGGGTCAAAAAGTGACCCGACCCTAAATTGACCCGACCCTATTTGACCCTGACCCGACCCTAAGCCGACCCGACCCTAAATTGACCCTATAGACAAACTGACCCAGCCCGACCCTGAGAGTCGGGGCGGGTCGGGTCAGTGGGTTTTAAGGGTCAAATTTACACCCATGGTTATTTACACAATATGCAAGGTTCATGTGTACCACAAAGCTTTCTACAATTTATTTGTAGATAAGTAAAACTAGTAAACATGAGGTAATAGGTTCCAAAGTTATTAATTGTGTACAAATATTGTTATATGTGTAATAATTTAGCAAGGATTGTAAATCAGCCGTAGTAGTTGTACTAAAAAATTCAATAGTATTATATTTATGTTGAAACCATGGTTTAATCATAATTCAACCGTTTCATACTACTAAAAAATCGTCTACGATTTAAAATCCAATAGAAGGTTTTCTCAATCGAACCACATATACTATACGATTTTACAAATACTATAATCTTGAGCCAAGGTGGGTCCCGGGACCTACCTTGTTATGAGCTGGCTCCGCCACTGGGTGAAAGGGATCGGACGAGTGGAAATAGATCGCTTAAGTTTACAACGATCTATTGTTCACAATGGCGGATCCAGAGGGTGGCCTCCCCGGGCCCCGGCCCAGCCCTCCTCTGAATCCATAGTTAGTATAGGCCTTATGAATTTTTCGATTTTAGATATTCGGGTCGTTGTTATATTAAAATAAGATTGGGTATAATTAGAAAAATAATTCAGATGAACATATTCAAAATCACTACTCTAAATTTAACTTATAAATTCTAACCCCAAAGGTTATTCGTCTACAAAAACAATGAAATCTAAAAATTCAAAAAGTTTAAAACGTAAAAGACTAAAACATATATGAGGTTTGTTACCTTGAAAATTTACTAGAGCAGCGGGTGGATATAGGGATGGAACACAATGCAAATTGATTAGTAGATTGATTTGTCTAGTGTTGATGCTGCTCGTTTCAACAGCTAATACGAAGAGAACCTTTTCAACAATGAAACATGTGAAAATTGATTTGCGCAACAAAATGAGCGATGAATTTCTAGTCGATTGCTCAAGTATTTTATTTGAAACAGTGTATACTATTGGTATGGATGTGGACTCCATTATTAATGCATTCGCTAAATTAAAATACCATCGTGTACAATTTACATTGTAAAAAAATTATAATAATGATATTTTTTTACTATTCTAATTTTCTAATAAAATGCGACCCAGTACACTTCTGTGTTCTGGATCCGCCGCCGATAGTTCACCATTGCTTACTTTAGTAACTATAGGTTTATCACTAACTCCGGAAGCGTTCTATGTTTGATCACTTTTTATGTCAGTGATGAGCCACTGATCGAAAGTATATATCTTCGTACAAAATTGATAAAACTTTCATCGCGTTTCACACTAGCGATGAAAATGCAGATCGCCTCCGACATCAACGATTTTTCAAAAACATGTGTAATGTGGGAAATGCTCATGAAAAATCTGTATTATGGGAATTTTTTTAGTAACTAGTGTCGTTTGGGGAAAAATTCAAGAATTATCAGGATTATATACGTGTACACTCAAAGTTGCTCAGCTAATCAATGATATTTTCATTGCTCCCTTCATTATTATTTAGGGACGGTGTCAAGATTTTGTCTAAGATGGATTCACTTCAAAAAAAAAAAAAAAAAAAAACATGACAAAAAGTAGCTTTTGTTAATTTTTTTAGTCATTCATGATATAATCTTATATGTGAAATTTTTTGGTAAATTAAAAGGGTAAATGCCACATTTGATCACTGGGATTACTAAATCGTGTCATGCTTAGTTACTAGGAATAATAATATCAATTTTGGTCACTCAAATTACTAAAACATGTCACATTTAGTCACTCTCCATTAGTCTCCATCCAACTCCGTTAATGGAGTCCGTTATGTGCTGACGTGGCTAACGGGAGTGCATAGTCAGTGCCATTTTGGGCAGGAAATGGTCAAACCCGACCTGCCACGTCACTAAACCCGCCGTGTCATACACCCAACCCATGAACCCAACCCGACCTAGAACCAAACCTGAACCCACTTAACCAAACAAAATTGCAAAATAGATCGGGTTAAGGGACATTTTCAAAGCCGAAACCCTTTCTGATTCTTCGCGAACCTGTACCTTCCACTAGGCTCTGCCATTTTTGGTCCCCTGATGTTTTCCTCCTTAATCGGCCCGTCGATGGACAATAGAGGGGCTACCAGATTCCGGTGAGACCCAGCTCCGTCATGGGCATCGGTCATGCTCAAGGGACCTGATACACGAGGCGAGACCTTCTTCTCAGGAGTGGCAACTCTTAGGGTTTCGCAAACGCCGTCAACACTAGTCGGGGCCTAGAGGAAGTGGCTTCAAGTCGCCATTAGGGGAAACAACTTCTATAATCATGTTGTCTCTCGAAAAAACAAGCGACGGTAGTTGACTAGCTAAAACACAACACCGAACTAAGACCAAGTATAATCGCAGTATGGAAATGCAGTATAGTGGGTTCAGTTTTATTTATCAACCCGGGGTCTAGATTTACTATATAATCTGTGTAATTCTGTTATCTGGCGGTGAAAGTTGAGTGAGAATGAGTTTAAACTAAAGGAGAAAGAAAGCAGCAAGTTGTTCGGGTTTCTAAAGC